TACTGTGCTGGTGTCGTTATTTGCTGAAGGTTTTGTGGATTGGGTTCTTTTGACGAGGACGTTGAAGTGATAGCTAAAAGTCCTTGGTGTTCCTTTTTTTGTTCCCTCGAGCTTGAGGAGTTATTGATCGTGAGTAAAAGATAATGTACTCGAATAGATAGGAAATGTCAATGTACCCTGACAATTGTGTGATCTAGCGAATCAATTTATTGATGACGAGCGAACGTAGAGGTGTTAATGGGCAATTAATATTCGTGGCATTTAAATTGTGTTAGTAGAACGCCGAGCCGACCATTAATCTTGCAGATTTTTATCGCTCTTCCCCTCCTCCAAACGTAATCCCATTAAACCTTTTCAATTTATCCGCCCGTAACGAAATGTAAATGGGTATGTAAATGCGAAACGTATATGGAAATCGAGTCTAGGAAAATTATATCGCCGAAAATCTTTATCAAATAAATGAATATTTATGACCGAGAGCTTCGCGCGTCGGATACAATAACCGTAATTCCTAATAATCCATTTTCCACAACGCCGTAATGGATGTACCGCGATTTTGTCACATAACTCGTCCAATTATCACAGTGATTTCATAACCCAAACAAACCAAATACAAAACGTCTATGTTTAAAAAATGGTTAAAACGATAAAACTTAATTTAGAACACAATGTGACAGAGGGTTTAACAAGTTGGCCGTTGATATCTCTGTCTAATTAATTCCACGTGTAGGCCGACTTCAAGTGACCCAAGTGGAAAGCTGCTTTTCCGGGGAGGCCAGACGGCCGATGTAACTACCGCAACTTCGGTTGGAGCGAATCCTAACTTATGCAACACGCCATTAACTAACTAACAAGTTTAATTCGGCACCATCTTGGATGTCTTAGAGGACCGGATGATCTCACAGTTTCAGAAGAGTTATAATTGGACAAGACAACCATCTAAAACTACATCAATCATAAAAATTTTCATAAATTTGATTTCAAAATTTTCATGACTCTTAAAATCCGGTTACAAGTTTATAAGATATAATAATGGTTGTTTATGTATTAAGAGTTGCTGATGATAAGATATTTTATATTCAAGCTGTTCTAACATTTTCCTCCCTGAACTAAAATTGTAAATTTGTAGGTTGTTGACGCTTTTGGTATGTTTAAATCAAAACAAATCTTTTTCATAATATAGCTTAATCAGTTATTTGACATTATTTGAACACAAACGAATAATGCTTATAGATTTTGTAATTGCCAAAATATTAATTTTAATAGAACTAAAACAGTTCGTAGTAAATAATATTTCAGGTGATTACTGTTGTAAACTAATTATAAATTTATTACATCACAATTCTGTGAACAAAATTATTCATAACTTGTTTATTATGAAACATGTTTGCTAATCGATTAATGTTAAATGTTTAAATGTAATAAAATACGTGGCCAGATTAATAAATAATTAAAGAATTTTTGTTTTTAAGATGCATTAATTCTTATAATAAAAGGTAGGATGCATTGACTTACTATCTTACTATCTAACTTATTTTATTGCTTTATCATGTTTTAGTTTTGGTTGATGACGAGATTTAATTGTCGCCTTTTTATATCATTTGCACAAACAGTATCAAACAAACACGATATTGGAAAGCATGAAGATGGTAAAAGTATAGATGCTGATGATATATCATTATCTTTAAATAAAACGTGGCAGGATAAGGTGATAGATATTCTAGATTCTAGACATTGTTCTACACAAACAGATGAAACTTCCTCGTCTCATGGAACACCGTAAATTCGATGCTAATAAACAAATAAAAATATTGAAGACATAAATTCTCAAAAATCACTTTTGGCAAAAATTACAGTATTTAACCCTGCGAGGATACTATGGGGTCCACCAGACCCCATTTATTCTTATAACTTCGAAGTACTGTTACTTGGGATTGTTCATTATCGTGTTTTCGTCAAAAATGATGCCCTACAGTGCCTTATGTCTACTAATAATGTAAGGTGCCCTCGAAGGGTTAAGTAGAATGCAATTTAACCAATTTGGATCATGCGCTTGGTTTTATGAGACAGTCGCATGCTCGCGGAATATTCCGCGCTTTGTGATAGAAGCTTTGACGGCGTGCGAATTAGTCCGCGCTTTGATGCAAATGGGTTAATTGAACTTGAATTACAAAACAAAGAAGAGGTGCTACTCTTATAATTTTTCAGTCCATCACATATTTTAGAATTGACGATTATTGACTTACTGCTATTAAAGCTATCAGCACAAACAACTGACTCGAAAAGTACCTCGAAAAACTGTCTAAAATAATTAAAAAAGTGGTTACACGCCAGATCAGGTATGGAATGCGGACGAAACAGACCTTTTCTGGAAGCGTATGCCAAATAGAATATACGTAGCTAAATCCCAGAAAACTGTCAGTGGGTTCAAGGCAGCCAAAGACCGTGTAACCTTTTTATATTGGTCTAATGCGTCTGGAGATCGAATGTTAAAACTATTGCATCAAACATGCTGGATTAATACTATCCGAATTGAGACCATCAACTTTGAATGTTGGAGAACTCTTTGACTAGAATGTGTAAAAAAATAAAGATTATGTGCCCTCTAATATAGATCAATACCCTAACATCACAGCCTTAGCTCATGAAATAAACAGAGAAGGATTTGATGATATTGTCTGCAGATATCGATGAATTACTAGAGGATAACGCACTTACCGATGATGAAATCATTAGTTTAGCGCTTGGGATTCCCGATGTTAAAGAATGCAGTGAAAATGACGAAGAAGGACTACAACTGGCTGCTAAATTAGGCGATCGTTTTCAGAAGCATGATGCTATTTAGGAGAGATCTACCAAATTTCAACGAGACATTAAATTATTAATGGGCAGTTATCGTGAATTGTATAACGGTCTTATAGAACACAATGATCGATAACAAAATTTGTGACATTTAGTGGTTCTCTAAAGCACTTGTATATGTACCATTTGACCGAGCTCCAGTATGAAGTTCCAAATTATACGTGTTAGTTATTTCAGACCCGGACTTTGTTCGGAGTCTCGTGATCTTCTCTATCTACTGAATCGCTTTGAAAGTTATTGTTACTGGCAGAATTCTCTTCACATATCATTTTTCGTGCTACTTTCTTTAGTTCGTATTTTGTCAGTTGCCAACATATTTCACAAGAGTCCGTAATGGTGGGCGTAAACTGTGAATTTTCCCTCTAACACTATTATTAACGCAGTGATCTTCCATTAATTTTCTTTTTACAAAATGTTTAAAACATATTTATGTGCAAAGGTTAACTAAGAAAGAAAAGCTAGTGTGTAGGTGAGACCAGTTCTGATTTTCTTCGAAACGATGCGAATTGAGGCGGAGAAGAAAAATACATTCATACGCAAATTAGTAAACCAAGTGTTGGGCAATTTGTTATAAAATTATCCACACAAATCTTAAAACTTTTAATAAGTTCAATGACGCCAGAATGCACTTGCGATCATAATTTTTAATTGGTTATATCACAAAATGCTTGTAACTAGTAACAACAAAATGCTTGCTAATATTATTCCATCGTAATTGGAACTTAATGTTAATGTGCCTTGTTCATCACTTACACCGCCGAGATTCTGTGAGATCTGCTCGTGGTGGTTATACAAGAAATGAAGAAGAATCAAGTGCATGGAAGAAATCAGAACTTCATTGCTTCATTCTTTGCGGCTTTGTTTAGAGCTATCTGGGAACAATCGCCATTCTCCTTTATTCCCTAAGAAGGTGGGGTTCTCTTCTCCTTCTCTTATCGTAGCAATAAAATGAATACAGATCGGTACAGTTTATGAGAATCAGTTTATATTTTAGCATTTCATTGGTGTTCCAATTCCTTCCACTACCTGCATCTTCAGTTGTGAAAAACTCATTAAAAGTTGGAGTTGGGAACTTTTCAAAATGATATGTTAGTGAAATTGTTCAAGATAACTGTATTAGGATAATAGTTCTGTCCATTTTTTCATTCTCATACACTTTGTGTTAACCAGGCAAAAATACCAGTTAGATGTGTCTTCTGACAGGTTCAACTATACCATAGGAAATACGTACAGAAAATGTTATGTTACGCTTTTGACATCTACAATATTAATTTATGTATTACAGTAGTCGAGACGAGCCGAGACATATCAACAATATGATAATATACCAGTTAACCTCAAGATGGAAAATTTTAACATCAACAATTGTCACAAAACAATTTGTTGGATACACAATGAAATTCTTTAACATTAAATCATTTGATACAAAATTCCTTAAAGTTTGGTAACTTTTCTTTGTATTTTTTGTTTTTGTTTCTAAAACATTTCTACATCGCACCACTTTTTCAATTATTTTTTTCTAAGATCGCACTTCGTCTAAGCAATTTGGTTCAGGTTTTCGGAATACATTTTTAATGAGCATAACAGGGCTTCATACTTAAACTTTATTCGCACACTTGTTAGCAACAATGCATTGATACTTATTCTAAATTAATTTTGAGAGAAACTTGGCTTGCGACTAAGGTTGTTATCTCATCGGGTTCAATATCAGTCTCGAAAATCGTCAATGAGACTAACTATTTTATGGGAGTGTACGAAATAATTGGAAGAGTAGAAATGAAGTTTTCAAGATTTAAAAATTGTTTATGAATGCAGGTAATTGGCTGATTTTTCCAAGTAGATCTTAACTATATAAAAAAGAATCACACAACTTTTAAATAACTATTTAAATTCTTAATAAAGTAATTTTCGATTCTTTGAAAACATATACACATTGAACCCTTGAATATTTAGTTAGATAATCTCAGAGCATCAAATAAAAAATTTAGAACCTTGATTTAAATAACAATTATGTCGTGTAATAAATATTAAAAAATTATTTTTAAATCATTTTTGATAATGTGTATTCTTGGTACTAAAATATCTTTTTATCTTTGTAATTACAATAACACAACACTTAATAAGAGCATTAGTCTCGATAAAACATCAAAACCGTTTAGTGTTTAAACTACGAAAGAAATGCGTTTATTAAATTTATTTAAATTGATCGCAATTTGTAGTTTATATAATTTAGGAAAAGCGGCGAATATTTTAGGAGTGTTTCCAATACCGAGTAAAAGTCATGATATTTTGGGTAGCACGCTTTGTAAACATTTATCAAATCTTGGACATAACGTAACTTATATTTCACCGTTTCTTCATGAATCCCAAAAGGATTTCCACCATATTTATGTTAAAGAAATTGAAACAATCAGAGTAGGTAAGTAATACTCTAATTTCCACCAAATTATTTTTTCTCAATTTATTAAAATTTTTAGATCATATGAAACAAATTACACAAGGTAAGGATAGCACACTCGGAACGATGCTTCGTTTAATCAAATTGATAGATATTTCTGATTTGATTTTTAACAACCCCGAAGTTCAGCAATTAATCAATTCAAAATCAGTCCTAAAATTTGATTTATTAATACACTTTATGGGAATGGATTCAACTTTGGCTTTAGCACACCATTTTGACGTACCGATAATCATATTTTCACCAATTGGTGGATTTCCCCACATAAATAATTTAGTTGTAAATCCAACTCCTTTTTCTTACGTTCCAAACGCATTATTACCTTTTACCGAAAATATGAATTTTATGGAAAGAACCATTAACACAGCGGTTACATTAATGTTTCCCCTTCACGAAGCTATAATGAATTGGATATCGGATAAATCACTTGAAAAATATTTACCCGGCTCATTACCAATGCAAGAAATTAAAAAACGGATCGAGTTGGTTTTAGGAAATACTCATATTAGCACGGAAAGTCCTCGACCTTACGTTCCAAATATGATTCAAATCGGCGGTTTTCATTTACATAATCCAAAACCTGTCGATGAAGCTTTAAAAAATGTATTAGATGAAGCAAAAGAAGGATTTATTTATTTTAGTTTCGGCACAAACGTAAACGTTAAAGAACTCGGCGAAAATGTCATGGATATTTTCAGGAAAGTTTTGGGAAATTTGCCTTTAAAAATCATTATGAAATACGAAGATGATTTTATGGAGAATAAACCGGACAATTTTTATTTAGAAAAGTGGTTTCCACAACCTGCAGTTTTAGCTCATCCAAACGCGAAATTATTTATTACTCATGGGGGTTATGGCGGATGTACAGAAAGTCTTTATTATGGTGTTCCAATGGTGTGTATTCCATTTTTTGGAGATCAATTTAAAAATTGTGCTGACGCCGAAATAAATGGCTATTCGATTACGGTTAAATTAAATGAATTAAGTGAGAAATCATTTTCTGAGGGTTTAAATAAAGTTCTTTACGATGAACAGTAAGTTAATTAACACCATATTTAATTGTAAATATTTATTTATTTTATCTTAGATTTCAAGAAGCTGTTAAATTTAAATCTGAAATGTATCGAGATCAACCTATGCATCCAATGGATAAAGCTGTTTATTGGATCGAACATGTTTTAAAGCACAAAGGAGCTAAACACTTAAAAATTAAAGGAGCTGATTTACCGTGGTATCAATATTTATTGGTTGATGTATTTTTGTTTCTTGGATTTGTGATATTAATTGCTTGCTTTATTAGTATATGTATCATGAAATTTCTTTTTAGAAAATTATTTGGTGCTAAAAATAAAATAAAAGTAAATTAAAAATATCGTGACAAATAGAAGCCTTTGTTTATTGAGAAATTAAAAATTTGATTATGTAAAAAAAGACATACATATTTTATAAAAATATAGATAAAAAAAAGAATTTTTCAATGTGAAGGTTTGTAAGATTGTAGTTAATAAGTTTTTGCAGTATATCTTGAAGTTATTTGAACTAAACAAAAACTGAAACTGGAAATGCATGTTGAGTAGTGTTTCCTTCACTTGTCCTAGATACAACAGGTGTTCTCAATACGCGCTGGTCACAATGACATCTAGATAGACAAAGCTAAATGGTATAAAAAAAGTAACTTTCTTTAATTCAAAAGGCAGCAGAATTGGTATGTTGCTGCATTAATAGTAATAACAGTAGTGATGGCAGTACTCAAAGTATAAGTCCGATTGGTAGTTGGAGATAATCACTGTGTTCTAATTTGCTTCCCTTACGATGGTTTGTGTTTTACCACTGAATATCTATCTGTATGGTGGTAGCCGAACTACCTTTGCTTTCTTGACTGCCAATTCTCTGTTCTCCATTAATGGTGGAGCCCATTTAAAAACCATGATAGAACTAAGTTTTTTATTGTGTTTAGTTTAATAAAACTTCTCCTTAAAATTAAGTAAATCAATGAAGTTTTCCAAGATTTAGTTGCGCAACAATAAAGTCTTTAGTCTCCTTTATGTAAATATACTTTTATTTCTTATTATTGTGATTTTTCTTGTATGTTTTGTTACATTTTACATTATAAAATTAATTTTTAAAAAAATTTTTGGGTCTAAACATAAAATTAAGGTCCGCTTTTACCACCTCTAGTTAAACTGGTCGTTAGTCTAACTATAAGATAACGTTTATCTATTAGTTAACTGCGAAACGACTTTTACCATTTCGATCTAACTAATGGATAGGCTATCTAGTAGTTAACGTAAAAATCTAGGGGAATATTATAATGACTGTTGGTGACCACGTGTAAAAGAGGTATTACAGGTTTCTATCTCCTTTGTCCGTCGGTAATTCTCATAAACCTGTCAGTTCTGTTAGTGGCAATTAACGATCACGAAAAAATAAAAACAGCAAATCAGACCGAAAATCGTATTCGGGGGGCAAATTTTAAACCTGAAGAAATAACACTTTTACTTGACTTGGTGGCGGATCATAAAAATGTCCTCAAGAATAAAAATAGTCACGTTAGTACGTAGAAAATAACGTTTGGGTTTTGCAAACAACAAGGAAAGGTAAAAGTACAATCAAAATACTAACTAACCTACTATGTATTTATAAAAGATTGATCTGCTTTATATGGTGTAGTGTCCAATAAAGCTGTCCAGGATACCTATAACAAGTTATTAAAGAAAAGATTAGAGTTAACAACATTAATGTTAGAAAATGAGAAGAAAAAAGATGGAAGTGATAAAATTGAAAAAAGAAGTGGAGATAAAAAAATTAAGAAAAGAAAAAGACAGTTAATCTATTTTTTAAATACTTGTTGACGATATTTAAATAATAATAATGTACATATTATTTATTGTAAATAACGCCTTTTTTATTATTTTTTTATAATAATAAAGTTTATTTTTATAAGTTCCGAAAATAATTGATAACTACTAATCTTCTATTATTGACCTGAAGCTAATGATTCGCTGATTCCACAAAAGTCAGCTACAGCCAATAACATGTTGCCTGTAGCAAAAAAATCTTAAAGTAAGCAACAATCTATTTGAAACAGGGATTGCAGAATTTCTAAAAAAAATTAATTATTAATTCTTCTACTGATAAAAACTAGGTACTATACATATATAATACCTCCTCGTTCATGGTTTGATGTCATTATCAATTTGTGCTAAAATGTTGTGAAAACACTCCTTTGATAATTGAAATCTGTTAATAAATTCATCAGTCTGATGGTGGACGTGGTCTATTCTGTCTTTTATTACGCGTCCACCCCGAATGGGAAATAGTCGAAATAGATAATTAATTTCCTCCAAGATTTCTTGCTCATCAATTTCAAACCTTTCGAACTGTTATAACACGACAATAACACCGTTTTAATCACTATTATGGAATTATGAGCGAACGTGAGCGTTTATTATGATTTTAGGTTAGATTTATGTTATGCCACCTGGTTAAAAATACCTTGAACCACGTTTATCAATGAGGTAAATATTTAACCCGACCCCCAAATCGATAGTTACGGATAGACCGAAAATAACTATTAGTTAGCGCTATCAACAAGGTAAATATGGTGGTAAAAGCCGATTTTTGCGTTAACCATTAGTTAAAGTTAACAACCACTTTAACTAGAGGTGGTAAAAGTGGGCCTAAATTAAATTAATTAAGTTTTCACATAACTCAAATTAATAGGCAAAATTTTCAGTTTCCTTTCTCTTTTAAATAATAAAGATTGCAATACTAACATTCCTTTTTTTCTGTTAAAATACATCATACAACCATGAACTCATATCATCGTATCACGAGCCATATACTCTGAACGATGCGTTAGCCTGGGCCGTAACCATTACGGACCCGGACAGATACACAGTATTGCTCTCAACGTTTCCTTGAGCGCGCCCACGGTTTCATCCGTATCCGAAGGGAAAAGGGGACCTTCACCGTCGCGGTCTTGCGAGAGAACCGGAGGGCCCCCAAGTCCCCTGCCTTTCTCGCGATATCGTACCGAAGCAATCGCGTTCACGCTCTACTTCGCAGACCTAGCACCTTCGACGAAGCTTTCCTACCCTTCTCATCCTCCAACCCACCCTCAAAAACGCTTCCTACGAACGAACGACTGCTTCGACAAGTCCTAATCGAATTTCTTACGTGTCGCCGTCAAGTTGTAAAGCTTGCCAGGAATGTCTCGAGAAATATTTTTGTTGTGTATTTGATTTTTTTTGATTAAATCGAGTAAAGTAATGGTGTAAGATTTATGGAAAGTTTAATTTTGTACATTTGTGTGATGAACCTTGCGAAGGACACACGTACGTGATGTAGACGAAAGCTCGACTTTAACGGCACGCCGGCCTAATTAACTTTACCGCTTTGCGTTCTCTAACCTTGTTCTCGAGTTCGCCGTAATGGCATGTAACCGAGATACTTTACCTTGTAAATTCTGCGGAGATATTTTGCCGCCACAATTAGGCCGTGTAATGCTTGTTAGCATTCAAATTAGTAGTCTTTTGTATTTTGCATGTGTGCCAAATCACGAACGTAAAAATGTTATCTGGGGAAATTGTTGAAATGCTAGAAAGACATGGCTTGGGGACGAGATGAGAGAGAGAGAGATGTGTAGGTCGCTCGATGCCAATAAATTTCGGTTGGTACAATTTCATGAACACCCCGGAGAGGACTGTTTAATTCATGACCTGGTCCTGCAGATATGTTCTGTTGCGCATGGTAACGCATTTGCCGACAAGAATCTATAATAATTCAGCCAGATCCCCCTCTCTCAAAGCTGCCAACTACCGCAGATACCGGAATTTCTGTTATTGTCGGTTAAGATAAACCCTAACGCTATTAATATTAAAGATTTATTGGTTTTATCTAAATGAATATAACCAAAAAATCCACCACCTAAAACACAAAATTTAAAAAAAGTCTAAATCTTTTCGCATACTTCATGCCAAATTTAATTTAAACGATTATATTCGCAAACAATATAATTATACCGTTTATCGACCCTTATCAAAAATTTATAGCCATAGCTAAAAGGAAACGATAAATAACGCCCGTTTAAACTGGGCCGCGCGTATAATGTAATATGCAAGCACAATTATTTACGGCGAGCTGCTTGCACGCGTGCTCCCCCTCATAAAGGCATTTTCATAACGTGCATTTGTCGCCAACATTTCATCTCCTACATCTAAAATGAAAACAAGAAAACTAACCATTTCTAAAATTGTCTCTCATATAACTCTTATGTTTTGTTGTCTTCAATTTAAACAATGAGAAACAACAAAAATTTTAAAATTAATATTTCTATATGTGCTATTAGGTATTCTAACACGCTAAATGCTGTTTCAACACGCACCCAATTATGAATACCCTATCCTGTCTATGATGGTAATAATTAGATTGTTTATAACGACATAGAAACTTTCAAATAATTTAAATATTTAGAGCGTCCTAACATCAAAAACTTACTGCTAAATTTGCTAACAATACAGAATCGAAAAATGACTTTCAGTGGTCTATCGTTCCTAATAACTAGAAAGTCATTGATATTTAGCAAACCTTCTGACGAAGTACCTACGTCAACTTAATGCAATAGAGAAGCAAGTCAACAAGTCACGTGGATACCCAGAAACGCCGAATATATTAAAAATTAAATGCCCCTGACGATATTGAAATATATCAAGGATGATGTTGATGGATATCAGAAATAATGTTGAAAAGGTATAAGAGAAGATGTTTAAAGTATATTGTTGAGATAATTTTGATACCATACAAGCAGAGATGTAAAATTACGGTAATTTATAATTTGTGTAAATTACAGTTTTTTTTTCTCAAAATTTATTCTCGCGTAATTTAATACTTTTTTTGATAAATTACTACGGTAACCTTTTTATTATTTTGATTCAAGGACAGTAGAATCTAACTTGTTTTTGATTTAACAAAACCTTTATACAAACTATTTAAAATATACTACCTATGTAACAAAAACTCTGAATGAAACAAAATATGAATTCTATGTAATTCAAACAAATAATTCAGAAAAGCTTGCTGTGAGCAATTTAAGATTTTCGTTGTTACTTTGCTTAAAGATGTAGTACAACAAAGAGACTTCCACCATATAACAGAATGCAGTTCACTCGTATCCAAAGCTTTCCATATGAAACCGTTAGAAAATAATTGTTCTTTTGATTTATAGTATTCAATTTCAGTCATAACGTTTGCTACATTAGATCCATTAACCAGAAGCGCCGATAATTTATTGATATACATATGTCAATGCTGCAATGTACTCGTCGTTACTGAGATGTTTTCCCATAATTTTTGGATCTAGTAAATTTGTTGCAAACTGTAAAGGCGTTACAGCCATATCACTTCGTGCTTTTAAAAGTCATAGAATTGTTTTTAGTTCTAAAACTGGCCATTCACTTTGTCATTATCATTCAAATTTTGACAATAGTCAACAACATGAGAAATGCAAGGTTGGGTAGTTTGTAAATTTTTTAAAATTATTGTAATGGGATTTAAAATCTTATATTATGTATCAAATTTCTCCTTGAATATATCGCTTAAAATGTTACGTTTAATATTTTCGTCTAGACTACTTGTTATAGTTTCTGTTATAACCAACTCTTTTAAGTTTCTTATAAGGACTTTACCGCATTATCAAAACACCTAAAGCGCATGCGCAAATACATCCTAGCTCCTAGCGGTAATTTATGAAAAATTTGTTTGGTAATTTATAGTAAATTACGGTAAATATTTTGGTAATTTACAAGGTAATTTACAAATTCACATCACTGCATACAAGACATTGAGAAAGCTCTTAATAATCGAAGATATTAGGGACAGTATTAGGGATGCTCTTGTATTGCTCAGTATTGAGAGATGTCAGAAAAGATGTTATGCGATGCTAGAGATAGTGTAGGGGGATGTTATTGACGATGTTGATAGATAATAGAGAAGTTGTTTAGGGATGCTAGGACATTGTTGAGTGATGTTAGAGATTATGTTGTGACATACTAAATTGCGTTTGATGCATTGTTACAATCGTCATTGCTCGATGTTTGACATTTTTTATTCTTCATTGGCGTCTTTCCGCAAGAGTATATTGAGTTTGAATATCTGCCATTGAATATCTGGGTAATTCGAGTTCAATCTGGCTTGTATTATTAATTAGAAACACTATTTTTATTTTTTATCTCTTTTTGTTGTTATATCTAGATTTTGTTATTTGTTTTGTTATGATACTAGGTTTTTATGATGTATTAATTTGTTATTAATTAGTTATTTGATTTTGTTACATTTTGATTTCTTTTTTTTTTTTATTGTATGAATTCTTTAGTGGATACTATTGTGGTGGAAACTGTGTTCGTATCCCGAATAAAATAAAATAAAATAGTAAAGATTTCGATGTTATAGACAATATTCGAGAATATCAATGACGATTTTAGGATGTTGTTAAGATATTTCAAAGAACCTTTACTACCTTTATTAAGATCGATATTGATAGATGCTGATGAAGATGTAGAGGGGTCAGGTAAGTATCCCTAGAACGCCATTCACGATTTTCGAGGTTATCGGGATTATGTTCGAGGATATTAAAGATGATGTTTAGAAACATCAGGCATTTGTTATATTAAGAACGATGTTGATAAATGATGCGCAAGGTGTTAAAAGGTACCAGGTATTATTGGAAATTGCCTGGAATTATGTTAGAAAATCTCAGAAACAATGTTTAAGTGTGTCAAAGACGATGTTGATCGATGTTAAAGATTTTATTTGAGCATATCAATGACTATGTTAGAGGATATCAGAGATAACGTTGAGATGTATCAGAGATGATGCTTAGATATCTATGTTGATGTTGATCGATTTTGGAGAAAATGTTATGGGGTCAGGATAAGATAAGTTAACGATATGTCAGGTACAATTTCTATGTTATAGGAGATGATTAGGAAAGCCAACAACATTTCAAGGATATTAAAGACGATATTGAGAGATGATGACACGATTGACAGATGATAGGAATTACGTGGGTAAATTTGAGAGTTTAGAAAGATATCGTAGCCATTAGGAATGAGTTGAGAGATATCAAAGGTGATGTTGAGGTATGTCAGTGTTGAGTCAGGCCACTGTTGATGTCGACAGACTTTGGTTAAAATTTGAAAAGATATAATACTGCAGGATTTAAACCCAGAATTCCAAGCAATCCTTGCTCAGCGCTCTACCAATTAAATGAGGTACACATCTAATCCTTTGTAGTTTTTGGTGTTAAAGGAACGTACGTCAAAAGAATCGCGATACTATATCTGAAATTGGCAGGATAGAGGTTGGGTAAATTATTAACGTAAATTATTTATAAACAACGAATAAATCTGGAGCTGTTACACAACTGATACCATAAAAAATGGTAGCGGCGGTATTCGAATCATTCAAATGTATGTGAAAGGTAATTTTCTTGACATATGCGTATGGCGTACAACTGTTCCTACTATAACAGTCTTTGGTGATATCAATGTTTATAGATGACGAATAAGATGTTGAGAGAGGCCAGACTAGTATATGTGAGAACAACGCTAGGAGATATTACCGATTATGTGAAGAACGATTTTGATCCGATTTGATGATATTCTAGGATATTAAGAACCATACTGTGATGTATCAAAAATGATGTTGAGAAATGTCAAGACGATGTTAATGGTCGCCGTTAACAATCTCGATTGGGAGATACCAGTTATTATTTTGTGATTTGTATATTAAAATAAATCCGTTTAAGATCAAGTCAAGATCGAGTACAGTCAACCAACATCAACAAAACCAATATCAAATTGTTCTGTTACGCTTTCTGCAGTGCGAATAGACGCCACTCTATACCTATGTGATTGTGTGGTGATCTTATCTTAGAAATTTAGCTGGAGCAATAGATGTTGAGAAATCTATAAACCTTAGCGGTAAAAATCATGATATAGTTAACATATGCTAAGAGAAAGCGGTGCCCTTCATCAAGCTGTATGAAGACCATGTACTAACAAAATCAGCCACTATTACGGCGGCGTATTGCAGAGAAATGGTTCGTGTTAATGTAACCTGATGGTGATCCAGGTGCGTAACACGGCGCGTTAAGAGAAGGAGCATCCAATTATGTACTTGAAGGCATTGTTCGTTATGGCCCTTAGCTCATCATGAAGCACTATTAACATAATGAACCAGTAATGTACGCTGAAAAATGGTCCATGCTCCGATGATATACTTGACACATTGTTCTTTATGGTCCTTAGGTCGTATATAGATAGGGTGTGATCTATCTCAGTTTCCCAGGTTATGCGTTCTGAATCCTAAAAGGAATGGATGTTGCACCCCCTACATAGGATAGGATACCAACTCTAGAACTGATATAATTTCTTCTAAGGAGAATATATAGTCAAGAGAATATGGAAGATTTACCAGCATATTATCATTCCAACGTAAGAGATGCAGAAGGAATATTTTTTCTTTTCTGAACATAAGATAAGTGGATGATTTCACTGGAACGGATTTGGGATCTCCAACAAGGAAGGGTTGCAGCTAGATGTTTTTTGTTGTACGCGAGATTAAGTTGGTGATTAATAATGTCATTAATAGAACACTACATTGTACTTTGTTGTTCGGGTCTACGATAATTATATTTCATTGATTTTGAAAAGGACCGTTTTATAATAACTCCTGTCTTCCTTTTCTGTGGTTTTTTTTATGTCTAAAATATTACCAATTTAAATTTTATATTCTTATTGTGCATTAATGATAATATCCGACATTGAGACTCAGATATTTGATTCAAGTACCTTATAGACATAAGTATAAATATAATAGATCAATACGACAAAGCTTTTAACGCCAACTCTAATTCTTTAACATATTGAGAATGTCTTTGTTAATATCTTTTTTAAAGGGCCATCGTTCACTGCTATTGTCAAGAAAGGTTGCTACTGAAGTTATATACGGTTAGGAAGAACGATATGGTTAAGGACAAATAAAACGATCCCCTATAATTTCGATTTAGAACCTTTTCTATGGTTTCTAATGATGGCGTGTCACACATTAGCGATGCGAAAGTGGCAATACCATAACTTTACTTAATGATAGTTCAGAGGGTGAAAGCTCGCCGTCACGAAGAGGATCTTCAACACAATGTAACAAATTACCCTCGAAACATTAAAGAGAAATTATCACATTTAACAAGGTTATATCTTGTTTCCAAGTCCGAGTACAGCTTTTTAATTGTTATAAAAACTACTTATGAGGATTTTATATTATGATTTTCTTGTAAGCTCAAGTAAATTTTAGTCTCTTCGGGAATCATTTTCAGTTCAAGGAGAGTACCAGCAAATATATTATTATACCAATTGATACCAATGAATTTACCGAGTGGAATATATATTTTACATATTCTAACACATCCGTTTGGATCATGTAAGTTAACAGTTTAAATTGAAACAATTTATTTCATATCCCTTCAATGTTGATATCGTGAAGTAGCATGTTGGACAAAGCTTTCTATTGCTGATAGTAAACTCAACATCGTCATGTTCGATTAGATTGTGGCTAGTGGAAGCAACGCGAAATAGGTGTACTAATAATATTGTATCAATATTGACGCCATAAAAGCTCTATTTAGTGTGTGTGTTTGGAAACTGTCGATCGGTTCCGCAATTGGCGGCACACAGAGGGCGTGGCGGTAGACACATAATGGCCGGCAATTTCCGAAACGATTCCGCTGAGTTATAGTAATTACGGCTACTGGTTTTCGAATTGTATCGATTTTACCTTTATCAACCAGACACTAGATTAGATGACCTTTGATCGGCAATCAAATTAAGCTTATCTGACAAAATTTATAAGTGGATATAATGTTCTTTGATTGGATGCTTTTTTTTTGGAATACGGTTTCAAAGCATATCTTGAATTGTGTGTAGGCAACAACCGGGTCGCTATTGATTTTCCCTCGTAACCGGCTGACACTAACTTCGCTGCACCACACTGACACATTAACATGCTCAGCTTTTCAAGTGTAACACACTCGCACGACCCCGGGGGCAACCCCAATAAAACCCCTACCAGCACGAGATCCGCAGTTAACACATGTTCACCAGTACTACATTAAAGTTTCCACTGAAGGATTTTCTTATGAACCTTTTTACTTCATTTTAACATAATTCAAAATTAATTAGCAATCATTTTTTTGTATATATTTTTTTAACCACATATCTAGTTTTATTTCTTAACATTTAATAATTTTTTGACAATCTGTACAATATCTTTTGGCTGTGGTATACAAAGAGTTTCTAAAGGCTCGCAATAAGGAACGGGTATATCGGCCGCTGTAATCCTAATACCTGGTTGATCGAGTTCAAAAAATGTTCGATCTTCACTAATTCTCGCTAAGATTTCTGCTCCGACTCCAAAAGCGGGCCAACCTTGTTCCACCGTAACAATATGATGCGTTTTCTTAACCGATTTGAAAATAACTCCCATGTCCAACGGTCGTATGCTTCTTAAATTAACAACTTCAGCGCTTACACCACTTTTCTCTAAATCTTTAGCAGCGTCCAAGCAAAATCCAACGTGTCTCGAATAAGACACCAAAGTGACGTGTTTCCCTTCTTTTTCAATATGAGCTTTTCCGATTGGAAGTACATAATCTTTTGATAAAACTTTATCGGAAACTTCGAATTCTCTTGCGTACATTAATTCGTGTTCTAAAAATACTACCGGATCTGGGTCTCTAATAGAAGCCTTAAGAAGTGCTTTATTATCTTCACCAGAATATGGAACTACTACTTTTAAACCTGGACAATGACCATACCAAGCAGCGAAACATTGAGAATGTTGAGCTGCCACTCCAGCTGGACAACCATTATTACCTCGAAAAACTATTGGAACATTAAATCGCCCAGCTGACATGTAAAACGTTTTAGCCGCCGAATTAATTATTTGATCAATAGCTTGCATAGCAAAATTCATCGTCATAAATTCACAAATTGGTCTTAAACCAGCCATAGCAGCACCAACCGCAATTCCGGTAAAACCCATTTCGGTTATAGGAGTATCAATGACCCTTTTGTCACCGTATTTTTTTAGTAAACCTTTTGTAATTTTATAAGGACCATCGTATTGAGCGACTTCCTCGCCGAGAATAAACACTCGAGGATCTCTTTCCAGTTCCTCATCGATCGCCATTCCCAAGAGATCTCGCACGGTGAGTTTTTTCTGGACGGGAACGGTTGTAGAAAAATTTGCTTTTAGATAAATGGATTTTGAAATTACTCCTTTTAATAATAACATCGTTATTTAAAAATCATTTAAAGCGTTAAATCATAACGCATTCTATAAAAAATCTTGATAGTACAAAGTAATTTTGAGAAAAAGAAAATGTTAATTGATATGTCGTGTAATATTGACAAATAATTGATGTAAGATTGATTTTGTCAAAATGATTAAAATATTTTTAGTTTAATTTCATTTTACTTTTAATGCCAACGAATTTTTATACAGAGATTTTATGATATAAATAATACATCAACCAAAAAATATTCCAAAACATTCTTAAAATATTCGCCGATTATCCAAAATTAAATAAATTAACAAGAGTTTAAAAACCCCATTTTATTTTATATTTAACACAAGAATGATTAGTAATTTTATCTCCAGTCATTATATATGAAGAAGATAAGTTATCGTTGGGAAACTTATGACTTGTACTTATCAATAATAACAACTTTTTTTACTATCTGTTATACAATATTTAGTTTCGTAAGTATTTACTACAATAAGGATTTTTTTGTTTTACTATAACTAATTGTTTCATACTTTTCGTGTTATCGCGAGTGTTACATTAAAATTCAGTTGTGTAACTCTCCTCCCAGTGTAAATTACTTCTACAAGAATTAATTATTATTAGCATTTTATACAGCAAGGGAGTACGTGAATTAACAAACAAAATTAATTATTATAGAATCGAAACATAATTTATTATATAAGTTGACATCCAAGAATTAGAGGTTTTCACTTTCATAGAGAATCTTAACCCATTCGCTGCTATATTTCAAATTTATATTGACATTATATTTTATTTCCATGGGCGAATATTCAAGTAACGTGTTTATGGAAAATATGAGGTTTCTTGGTAAACTATGCGCAAGTGCAGTTTACTTTCATTGAAATGTAGTGTAGAAAATGGATATTTTATCGGAAAAACACATTCGTTCAGGAAATAATTTACTGAACATCTGAATAAAGAATATTTTCGTTCAGTAAATATATACATAACTCCTCCTGCGGAAGATTCTGGTGGCGACTCTGAGCAATCAGATAACGAGCATTTGGGTGACTTTTTCGACAAACTTTCTGCGAAAATTCTAAATGCTCCAGCTGCAGCAAGTCTTGTTTCCAAAGAAATTATAGAAGAGCATTAAGGAGTGATTTCGAAGAGCGATGAAGATGAACAGCTAATCAAGTACGTACCAAATTATAAGAGACAGAAATTATCCAAAAATGGAAATAACAGATCCAACAAATTCTTGGAAAAGAGGATAGATTTCATAGGACGCAAATGAAGAGAATATTACAATATCAAACGCATAGAGCCACAGTAAAAACCCAGTCGAACTGTTTGAATTGTTTTGGAAAACTAACAATCTTCTAGACCAAAAAAAGGCCCAAAAAGACATATATTAGAGCATGGGTTTGGATCTTCGTAATGAAGCGATTGCTAATGCTATGTGTAGAAATAGGTTGAGAGAGATTTTGAAAAATTTTCATTTTATCAGCCATCTTTAACCTCACTCCTCTGGTCCCTGTAGTTAGTTGTGTTAGCATATCTGATAGTTCTTGGATATCGATGGTCATTATGATAGTATCGTCTGCAAAGCGTAGATAGTTTAAATAGGTCTCATCGATGTTAATTGCCTTATCTATGATAGTGACTTGAAGATATTTTCCAATGCCAAAGTGAAGAGTTTTAATAAAATAGTGTCTCCCTGGCGGATCACTTTTTTTGATTTGAAGTGTGTCGTTTGCGTATATATGTTACAGGAGATTTATAAATTGTGAGTCAATCCTGGTCTGATCCATTGCTTGCAGGAATGCCCAGGTTTTGACGCATTCGAACGCTTTGAAGTCCTCAAATGCCAGGTCCTAATTGGCCAGACGAATTAATTGCAAGTAATCAATGGTGCTGTATAAGCTTTCCTGAAACTGGTCTGTTCTACAGGTTGATATGAGTCGAATTTATTTGTTAACTTATTTGCAATAACCTTTGTCAACAGGTTGTATAGATGTGATAAGAAATGCTGTTATCGCCTCTTTTGAAGAGTAAAAGGACTCCTGCATTATGCCATGTGTCTGGTACATCACTTGTTGAACATCTAAACAAACAATTTATGAAACGTATGCCCGTTTGTGAATCTATGTTAGCCACATTCGGAAGAAAGATACTGCGTGGAATATACGGGGGATGTGAACTTACTACATAATGCTTATGAATCAGCTGAAAACATGGATATAGTAACAAACTGGACAAACACAAGCAAGGGACAGAAAGGAATGGAGATTGAAGCTTGAGAAAGTCAAGACTTTGCAAGAGGCTGTATGACGACAATGATGATGATGCCCGATTGTGAAAACTTGCATGTATATCTGTTGATGAATTAATGGTGTCGTACTATAGTCATCTATAGCATGAATCAAATAAATGAGAGAAAGACAGCATCCAATCAAGAATGTTGTTAAACCATCTACTGTTTGTAGATCTTAACAAAGCTTCTATAAGAAAGTTATGGCAGGTAGTAGAGGTATCACCAATTAACTGCCAAAACAACCAAAACTCCAAAACTATAGGGTAAAATATTGTCTCATCAGCCTTTCAAGAAAGTAAAGGTGTTAGGCAAGGATAAGCGATTCTAATCAAAGCACTGAAAAGATAAAAAAGATCATACCAAGCAACATAACACCACATACACTTCACTTTGCTGATAGTCATTGCACAATTTAAAGAGAATCTGGAGTTTATGCCAGGGAAATTTTTGGACGAAGATAATAATTGGGGTTTTCAGAAAATATTAAGAAGACTTAATATATGTGTATTGGAAAAATTGACAGTACAAAATGGCGTTGAAGTTGATGCGTTTGACTAGTATAGTTATTTGGGCACAAGAATAACAACGGAGGTCACGAAAGAAAATCCGATAATTAGATATCTGCACTCGATATGGTCCAAAAGTATATCACCTGAAAAGAAACGTTATATATATTTCGCAGTTTTTAAAAGCATCGTCTTATATGAAAATGAAGGTTAGCAGGTAACAAAGACTATTAAAGATGGATTACTGGCAAAGATCAGTTAGGGTATCGAGAATAGATAAAGTAACAAACGAGAGAATAATTGAAATAATGAAGGTGGGCAAAACAATACTGGAGGACACTTAACAAAACCAGTTAATTTCGTACCAACACGTTAAGAAAATGTCAGAACAAAGAATTTCAAAACTTGCTTTCCAGCGTGTGCTGACAGAAAGGAGGAAGCGAGGAAGACAAAAGGTTACTTCGATCAGCAGCATTCAGAGGTCAATATCGGAAAGAAACCTTAGACTAGGATATTAAAAGGATAGAAGAAGCTCCGAACTGGAAAGTTGTTCATCAGAAATTACCGTAATAAAGCCAAATAACTTGTCGTAAGAAACCCGAAAAGTCTCTCTTTTAAAATCCCCAGTAGAATACTTAAGATGAGGCTAACTTTGCCCAGTTGCCCCCTTATTCAACGATTTACCACATATCGCAGAGTACCAACCTGAAATATTGCATATTTCTTTTAGATATTTCATGCTCTAAAACTGTAGCCAATGTCATTGATTTAGACACTCTCAAATAAATCATTGCGTATAGTCCTTATTAAACCTTATTAAAAACCTTATTAACTTATTAAATTATTTTCAGAAACCGTCGAAGTGTGAATCCTATTAAGGAGATTGTGGTGGGTCGGCTTAAAAAGCTTACTCATTCCAAACAATTCTCAGGACTACACTGGATTCTCCACTAGAATCTCTCATCATACTTCGAACAAACAACCCAAGTTATTGTAGCTGATAACGGATGAAAGCGGAAACATCTTTGCATAAAGAAGACTAAAGACTTTATTGTTGCGCAACTAAATCTTGGAACAATTCACTGATTTACTTAATTTTAACAAAACTCAATACCCATTCTAAGCAAACTTGGAGAAGTTTTATTAAACTAAACACAATAAAAAACGTAGTTCTAATCGCATCAATTCATGGTTTTTAAATGGGCCCCATCATTAATGGAGAACAGAGAATTGGCAGTCAAGAAAGCAAAGGTAGTTCGGCTAGCACGATACAGATAGATATTCAGTGGTAAAACACAAACCATCGTAAGCGAAGCAAATTAGTACTCAGTGATTATCTCTAACTACCAATCGGACCTATACTTTGAGTACTGCCATCACTACTGCTATCATTATTAATGGAGCAACATACCAATTCTGCTGCCTTTTGAATGAAAGAAAATTGCTTTATTTAAACCATTTAGCTTTGGCTATTTCTAGGATGTCATTGTGACCAGCGTCTATTGAGAACACCTGTTGTATCTAGGACAAGTGAAGGAAACACTACTCAACATGCATTTGCAGTTTCAGTTTTTGTTTAGTTCCGACAACTTCAAGATATACTGCAAAAACTTGCTAACTACAATCTTACAAACCTTCACATTGAAAAATTCTTTGTTTATTATCTATATTTTTATAAAATATGTATGTCTTTTTGTTCATAATCAAATTTTTAATTTCTAAATAAACAAAGGCTTCTATTTGTCACGATATTTTTAATTTACTTTTATTTTATTTTTAGCACCAAATAATTTTCTAAAAAGAAATTTCATGATATATATACTAATAAAGCAAACAATTAATATCACAAATCCAAGAAACAAAAATACATCAACCAATAAATATTGATACCACGGTAATTCTGCTCCTTTAACTTTTAAATGTTTAGCTCCTTTATGTTTTAAGACATGTTCGATCCAATAAACAGCTTTATCCATTGGATTCATAGGTTGATCCCGATACATTTCAGATTTAAATTTAACAGCAGCTTTGAATCTAATAAAAAATAAGAAATAAAATTTATAATTAAATATAGTGTAATTAAATTAATTAACTTACTGTTCATCGTAAAGAACTTTATTTAAAGCCTCAGAAAATGATTTTTCCGTTAATTCATTTAATTTAACCGTACGTGAATACCCATTCATTTCAGCATCAGCACAATTTTTAAACTGATCCGCAAAAAATGGAATGCAAACCAATGGAACACCATAATAAAGACTTTCCGTACATCCGCCGTAACCACCGTGGCTAATAAACAATTTTGCGTTTGGATGAGCTAAAACTGATGGTTGTGGAAACCATTTTCCCAAATAAAAATTATCCGGTTTGTTCTCCATAAATTCGTCTTCGTATTTTATAATAACTTTTATCGGTAATTTTCCCAAAACTTTCTTAAATATATCCATAAAGTTTTCTCCGAGATCTTTAAGATTTACATTCGTACCGAAACTAAAATAAATGAATCCATCTTTAGCTTCATCTAACACCTTTTTTAAATCTTCATCGAGAGGTTTTGGTTTGTGTAAATGAAAACCGCCGATTTGAATCATATTTGGCACGTAAGGTCGTGGACTTTCCGTGCTAATATGAGTGTTTACTAAAACTAAATCGATTCGTTTTTTAACTTCTTGCATTGAAGCTGCTTCGGGTAGATATTTTTTAATGGATTTATTAGAAACCCAATTAACTGTGTATTCCTGTAAAGGAAGCAGTAAAGTAACCATTGTATTAATAGTCCTTTCCAAAAAGTTCATATTTTCAGTGAACGGTAGGATTACGTTTGGAACGTAGGAAAAAGGAGCTGGATTTCCAACAAGGTTATTTGTAGTTGGAAAGCCACCAATTGGTGAAAATAAAATTATTGGCACGTCAAAGTGGTCCCCCAGAGCTAACGTCGGATCTATTCCCATAAAATGAATTAATATGTCGAATTTAGTGGACGGTTTTGATTTGATTAAATGTTGAACTCCGGCGTTTTCAAAAATCATGGTTGTCATATCCATCATTTTAAATACTTGAAGCATCATCCCGAGCGTTGTACCATTTCCTTGCATGGTTTGTTTCATGTTATCTAAACAACTTAATAAAACAGAAAACAAATTTGTAATGATGATATTTCTTACCGTCTCTAAACTTTGAAATTTCACTAACACAAATATGATGAAAATTCTTTTGGGAATTATGAGTAAATGGAGAAATGTATGTTACGTTATGCCCAAGACTCGATAAATGTTTAAAAAGTGTACTCCCTAATATATCATGGCTTTTACTCGGTATTGGAAATATCCCTAAGATATTTGCTGATTCTCCCAAATTTAAAACACTACATATTATTAAAAACTTAAACAAATTTGAGAAACCCATCGTATTTTGCTAATACTTGATTTATTTCTAATTCTATTAAGACTAATGCCCCTATATTATCTCCTGCTATTATATATAAGTGAGATAAGGTACGATAATGAAATTTTATGAGTAGTTCTTATCTATTGAAAATTTGAAGATCATTATTATTTCGTGATTTTATTTTATGGGTAAATATCGTTAACAATTATTATTACAACAAATTTTAACAAAGTAATGTCTTTATCTAATTAATTTTTCTTATTGTGATTTCGTTCTTTATTTATTTTACTATTTATTACCATTTAGAAGATATTAGGTATACTCTTATCTTTTACTATAACTAATTTTAACGAGGTGGTTAACGTTAAAATTTTACAATTTCAAGAACCTTTCGTGTTCTCGTGAGCGTTAAATTTTAATTGCACCTTTGCAACTCGGCCCCTGTTGTAAATCAGTACTGAACATTAATTATTTGAAGAGAATTGCCGCAACGGAATATGTGAATCTTTTATATGAGAACCATTCTGGAAACGATTTGAAGCATTGATTTGTTCGTTTAATTACCCCTCATACAATAAAACGCCTATTAACCCAGTCATAAATTATTGAATTTGTAATGTCGGTAATTTTACAGGATGAGTAGTTATTAAAATATGAAATAAAAAACGAGAGACAAAATTTAACGGTTTAGAATTTAGAATATGTTTTTAGCCATTTTTTCTATTATATTGGAGAATAAAAGTAGAACTTTCAAACTTGATACAACCAAATCGCTGGTCGAAATAACAAGGTCATAACATCAACATAAACTGTTTAACTAATACCATTTTATACCTTAATAATCAAGTAGATCATAGAAGCTTAACCGAGAATTCATTTCAATACTAAAGCTTAATAATTTTTCCTTTATTACTCAATACTAACTTTTCATGATGATTTGCTCAACATTAATTGCTGTACTTCCATATTTAGTAGCTGTTGCTTCAGATACATGACTACTATACAGTGTCAAAGTTCGAGAATCCTTATTGAAACACCCAGTTATATGTCTAAATCTGAAAACTGCATTAAAATCTATATTGGGAAAACAGACAGTAACTTGAATATTTTAGAAATATAATAAACTATAATATTTATATTTTAGAAAAAGTTTTGCAATGCTAAATTTGTATGTGTCAGGACAAAATGTGAGGCTATCATTAAAGCGACATTTAAAAATTACTGTGATAAAATATTTGTAGAAGACTTGAAAAATGCAGCGTTTGCAACGGTTTTGTTTGATGCATCAAATCATAATAAAATCAAATTGTATCTTATATTAGTGAAGTATTATAATGTAAGGTACCGGGTAGATACTTATTTATTCCTAGATCAACTTCAGGGATACCTTACTTCTAGGATCCTTGCTTTCTTATCGAAACCAAGAATTTCATTTATAATATCTCTTGCCTTCTTTCAACCACATAACCAGCATAGAAGAATACGGCCAAATACCTCACAAATTACGAATTTTGAAAACAAACGATGTTGTCCCCAAGTGGGAAAACCTCACGTCTCTACAAAGGGCTGCCTTATCGTATCTTGGGGGAGGAAAAAATTCGTTACTTCCAATAATGCCACAACTTTACTCTCGGATAAAAAGCTACTAGAAATGCCAAAAGAGCAACGAAAATAGAATGGGACACCGTGGTTCTGAGCATGGTGCAACGAAGAGACGCAAGTCAGAGGATACGAGGAAGTATCAGAAGGAGGAGTAGGTTCTATTCACAAGAAACATATATCAGATGTAATAGACATCAAAGCAATAAGCCCCAGAGTTATCTATCTGATATTGAGATTAAATACTAAATAGAACCTCAAGGTTATAAGGACTTACGCTCATACATTAAATTCGGAAGATGAAGAACTTGACCAACTCTATGATGATATTGATATGGCCCTGCAAGGACAGCGTGCTCGCTACACGTTGTTGGCAACTTTAATTCCAAACTGGGGAAAAAACAAGACCAATCAGAAAACTCAATGGGTGACTATGGATATAAAACCAAATATTGTTCGTAATGATAGGCGAGAGAGGCACATTGATATAGGGGGCACATTGATACGCATCAAAATTTTCTCGGCACAGTGCAGTTCTATGTTTGTGCTTCTAGATATTAGACGACACTACCGTGGCGTGTTTTGTGTCGAAGTTTGGAATGTGCAGTGTCATAAGTGTTTCCAGAGAATATTATTGTTTGTTTTGCAGTAAATAACGTAAGTTTTGATAATTTATTTCACTTCGTTCATTTCGTATTTAGTTAAGTTTTAGAGAACGTTTTTGACGGTAACAGTTTATTTTTATGAAAGTTGGCTGTTAACTTTCATAGTTATGTTTTTTTTAAACAAAATTGAAGGTAATGTAAGAGCAGCTATTTCTTATTAGTGTCTAGTGGGGTACATTGATAGGAAACAAGGTGAGGCACATTGATGCATGTATCAACGTGCCTCACCTTTAAATTGAATTTCGTATAATTCAAGATGATTGTCATTTTTAGGCTGAAGGTATGCTGCGCACTTATCGTAAGAAAACACAGAAGCTTTCATAGCTGAAGAAGATATTAAATTAGCTATGAGAGATGTTATCAAACACAAAAAATCTATCCGAGTTGCTGTAAATGATTATAATAGGAGTAACACTTCAGCACAGAATTGAAAAATAGAAAAAACTAAATTGCCGTGCTAATGATAGCGGTACAGATTCTGGCGCCGAATCTGATATTGATAATATCTGTAAAGCGAAAGTACCAGTCGAAATATACAAGCCAACAAATATTCACAAACGATGGAGAAATTCACCTAAAACAGTATTTGATAAAGTCGTCGAAATGCACTATGGAGGACATACAAAATAAAATAAGAAAATGGCTGGTAAATTTTGGATGCAATTCTATATGAAACGACATCCTTTCCTAAGTTTACGTAACCCAGAAAATACAAGTCTGGCTAGAGCGACTGCATTTAACAGAAACACCTTAGATGAATTTTTTAATAATTACCCGTCAGTGATGGAAAAATACAAATTTAGTGCAGATAGAATTAGAACATTGACGAAACTGGTATAACTAGAGTGTTGCCAACACCCAGAGTGATTTCAGAATGAGGTGGGGTATAAAAATTTCCAATTAGGTACAATGTAATTTTCTTAACTTGTGCAATTATTTTTTCAGGAAAAAAGTAAGTAGGCCAAATTGTATCGGGTGAACGTGGTCAGTTAGTTACTTTTTGTGGAATTATCAGTGCGTGTGGTTTAATAGCTTCTCCATCATTTATATTCCCTAGAGTTAGATTCAAAAAATACTTCTTGAATAGGGCGCCAAGCTGCTCACTTGGCTTAGCTTCTAAATCAGGTTTGATGACGGGTGATTTATTCTTGGAAGGCTTAAAACATTTATGCAAGCATGCAAATTCATCAAATGAACGTCCAATTCTATTGCTTGTTGATAACCATGAGTCGCACTTTACCGTAGATACAATTAATTATTGCCGAGCAAACGGTATCACAATTCTGTCGTTTCCTCCACACACTAGCCATAAACTTCAAGCGCTAGACGTTGGAGTTTATGGCCCATTCAAAGCCAATCTCAAAAGTGCATTTAATGACTGGATGTTGACCAACGCTGAAAAGCAAATATCTATTTATGATATATCCTTCCTTAGCAAACAAAGCGTATTTGAATTAATTTACTCCCAAAAATATTTTAAAGGCTTTTGAGAAACCAGGAATTTGGCCAATAATCAAATTAGTTTTCTCTGATAAAGATTTTTTATCTAGTTATGTAACTGATTGAAATGATGTTGATTTAAGTAATCAGACAAACAACCCCGAACATAGTCAAGGCCCAAACCTATCTACATCAACTTTCTTAGTACCGCCAACATCTGTGGTACTACATCAAGTGGCATCAACGTCAATGGCAAATGTGTCATTGGTGGAATCAGCTTCTACAGAATTGAATGAAAGTGCTTCAATTCTGAATCATCTTCCTGAACACGTTAAACCTTTTGCCAAGGTAGGAACCAGAAAGAAAACTTCGAAAGTGAAGAAAGGAAAATCTAGTATTTACACATCAATTCCGGAAAAAATTAGATTAGAAGAAAATTTGAAGCACAGGAACGAAAAGAAATTAAAACAAGTAATAAAAAAACTAAAAATAAATAATGCAATATATACACAGCAGGAGTCAGGGTCTTCTTCTGATTCAGTAGATGATATTAGCGACGAGGACGATCTGTTGAATGTTGATGATTTTGTTGTTGTAAAATTTTGCACCAAAAAAATTGTCAATAATTTTTGAGGAAAGTACTGCGCATACTTGATGAACACGAAATGGAAATTAAGTTTTTACGAAAGCAAAAAAGAAACAACAAATTTTCTTTTCCACAAAATGATGATATCAGTTTAGTATCACGTGAAGATATTATATTTAAACTTTCGAGCCCAATTCCTGCTGATGGTACAGCTCACCTGGCTAGTTATTTGTATTTTCCTAGTTTACCAAATATTGTAATTCAATAAATATTTTCAAGCATTGGTTTTGTTATTAATTTCCTACTTGTATCAATGTGGTGCCAGGGTGTATCAAACTACCCCGCAGTGAGGCAGTTTGATATAAAAGACGATTTTTTTTTGAAAAATCTTTTGTGTTAAATTATGATACATTTATTATTAATTTTGACAATTAAGGGATATACGGAAAGGCCTACTCTAAATTTTAACAAATATTGCAAAACTTTTTAATATTCCCTAAACCTAACAGCTGCTGTTAAGCAAAAATCAACAGGTTTTCAATTGGAACCGATCATCAAATGGTATGAACAAAAGTGGCAATAAACACTAGAAGGGAACGGACGGCTAACCAACTAAAATGTAAATAAATGACCACCACCTCAAAACATAACATTATTTCAAAATGAAATACATACAAACCTAAGTAACATACCACTTACTAATGGGAAGAATGTAGAAGTAGAACAAAAACAACTTCACGGAATTAGACAAAAAGCTCCGAAAATTTATTCATCAGCCTAAGAAGATGAATGACCTCGCTTGGTGTAACAGTAATCATTGTTGCAATTTTAGCTATTATTATGCTTTTAGAATAAAAATAAAGAAAAACCTTGAGCGACAAACAATCCGTGAGCCAAACACCCTTGGCTCACTCTAAGACGAGAGAGGATGTCGTCTGTAGCACTTTTTTAAGTTTGTTACTGGAGGACAGTGCTGACACAAGAATATTCGGCAATAAATATGGGTAATTAATGCAGCGCAAGTTCACTTCAGTTTTCATTACTTTGCGTTAATTAATTAATAAAATCATAATATACTCAAACAGTTATTAACAAAATCACTTAATTATGTAAATAATTATTTTTCATGGACGAAACCCTGTATCTATATATTTTAATACTAAAGTTCTTTACCAATTAGTTTCGAAGTTAATTCACAACAAAGCATCAATATCCGCTATAATTGGTGAATGCTCAATATAACATGTCCATTATTTTTGAAGTGAACAAATACATTTTTTTACAAAATATCACAACGATTTATGGTAACAAACGCGATACATCTATTAATCAATAGCATAAAATATGTGCACATTATGATCGTTGAAAAAACGCAGTAGATATTAAAACAGGAATGAGTACAAAAAATATAAAATATCAAGAATTAAAGGTGTTTATGTTACCTAATGAACTGTAAGGATTTTGTTAAAGCGCTGGAAAATAACAGTTCTCGCGGACCTTAGACAGAACCTGATTAAACACGAAAGCTTCGTCGTGCGTTATATGCAAATCTGATCATTATCTCCAAGATTGATGCAATTTTATCAAGCTTATGTGCTAGTCGAATATATCAAGTAAAAAAAATAAAGTTGTCCTTAAACAACGTTGTTCATGTCAACAATATAAATCAAATATTATACCTTTCTAAATCCTACAATCGTACGGATTGGGAACCTTCACCCTCAACATCCTCACAAATCTTCTGGTCATGACACAAAACATGGTCACTTTGACGTTTTTGTTATAAAGAGTCGGAGCTGTAAATCCGACTTCACAGTTTCTGCATATATACCCAAACTTATTTTCAACAATTCTTCCTTACCTGAAACAAAAAACAAGATTAATAAAACTCTTAAAACGTCTAATTTCGTTAAAAAGCTTTTTTTAATAATTTCAAATTGAACAGTATTGAAAATGTTAAGTTTTCATAAGTAATTACAGGTGTAAGGATTCTCTTCGGCAATTCAAGAAGATAAGAGCCCGTTATAGTCCATTGAATTTAAATTCAGCCTTAATTGCAGAGAATCGGAACGTGGAGCTACCCGAACTGTGGCAATTACAGTTCCCGCTAAATCTTAATAAATCTTCCTTCTTGCAATTCTAGATTAGCCCCGACTGGGGAGGTTAGTCCGTTTAAAACACTAACTTTTTATTTAATTCGTCTTTACTTTATTGAAACTTATGCTTTTATAAAAATATTTACAAACGCTAAATAAGCAATATAGAAAAAGAAACGTAATGAAGAAAAGAAATAAAAATACGTCAATAAGATAATATTGAAACCAATTTAAATCGGTTCCTTTAACTTTTAAATGCTTTGCCCCTTTATGTTTGATGACATGTTCAATCCAATAAACAGCTTTATCCATTGGATTTATGGGTTGATTTTTGTATAAATCGGATTTAAACATTACCATGTTTTTAAACGAATCGTTTAATAAAATTTGATTTAAACCATCTGAAAGATTTCTTTCGTCGATTTTGTCCCAATCAAACATAATTCCATAACCGCTATATTTCGCATCGATACAATTTTTCCATTGATCGGCAAAAAATGGAATACAAATTAAAGGAATTCCGTAATAGAGTGATTCAGTAACCCCTCCATATCCGCCATGAGTTACAAACAATTTAATATTTGGGTGAGCTAAAACTGAAGGTTGTGGAAACCATTTTTGTAAATAAAAATTTTCCGGCGTATCCATCATAAAATCATCCTCGTATTTCATTACGATTTTAAACGGTAATCTTTTTAAACTCCTTTTTAAGGTGTCCAAAAACTTTTTAGGTAAATCTTTAAGAATTACATTTGTACCAAAACTCACATAAATAAATCCATTTTTAGCATCATCCAAAACTTGTTTTAATTCCGCGTTTAATTTTTCTGGTTTTTGTAAATGAAATCCACCGATTTGAATCATATTCGGCACGTAAGGTCGTGGAAATTCAGTACTTACATCGGAATTAACTAAGATTAAGTCAGCATTTTTTCGAATTTCATCAGTTTTTGCATCGCTTTTTAAATAAGTTTTTATCGCTTCGTCTCCGTAATAATTACAAACAATTTCTAAGTAATTAAAGAAAATAAACGGAATTATTACATTGTAAACTCTTTCGGTAAAACTCATATCTTGATTGTAAGGTGTTACAATTGTTGGAATGTACGAAGGTGGAGATGGATTTCCTAACAATTTATTATGAGGATATAAAGCACTCAATGGTGTAAAAATAATTAGAGGTGCTTTAAAATGATGTGCTAAAGCTATCGATCCATCAAGACCAATTAAATGAATCACAAGATCAAATTTTGTATCGGAATGAATTAGATTTTGTACTTTTTTATCCCCAAAGATAATTTCACCCAATTCAGCTAATTTAAAAACTTGTCTTATTACATCCAGTTTTGTAGCGGTTCCTTGGATGTAGTTTTTCATGTTAGCTAAAAAAAATTGCCTAATAAATAAAAAAAATAAATAAATTTAAAATACCTTTAAATTCATCCCAATTTTCAATTTGAATCAAATGAAAATTTGAATTTTCTTCGTGTTTAAATGCGGAAATATAAGTAACGTTATGCCCAAGTTTTGAAAGATGTTTAGAAAGAATGCTACCAAGAATATCATGACTTTTACTAGGTATTGGAAAAACACTTAAAATGTTTGCTGATTTTCCTTTATGGTAAGAAATTATGAAAGATATTGAAGCGATTATAAGAAATTTGGCTGATAGTTTCATTCTTTACGTTAAACCAAGCACAACTGAGATCTTATTAAATTTGATATTCATTGTCTGTTGCATTTATTTCCATTTAATAAGATAAAAGGACGTTGATCAGGTTCATTCCAACTTCTTATCGGAATAAATAAAAATGTTAGTTTTTTTAATTTTATCTTTAACAGTAGTTTTATGATAAAAGTATAAAGTATAAATACAAGAATTTATTAAACGGTACATAATGATTGTACAATGATGATATGGATTTATATGACATTATTTTTAAAGATAATTTCTTTTTAAAGAGTATATAAATTTGAATGTATTTTTCACTAGAAAATATAAAGACATATGAACGAAAATAGATACTGTTGTATGGAATCAACTCCTTACGTAGGTAAGATACCTATAAAGGTAGATAAGGGCGTTTGAAGATGTTTAATTAATTAATAAATCATTAACTGAAAATTTATATTTTAACAAGCCTAAAGAAACTGATGATCATGACGAAAATTAAAATGTTTTTGATATTGATTAACAAATGATAGTATAAAATTAAAAGTTTATGTCTTTTATTTTATATTGAATTTAAGTCTAACTAGTTTCGGCCATTGGCCATCTTCAGACACTCTACAAATAGCTTAATATCTCTCATCTTATCCATTTTACAAACGACAGCGGTAGGTAGCAGTAGTTAGCATGAGATATAACTATGTTGTGTATTTTTATTGCACTAAAACTAGAATGAAAACTAGAAACATTCGGGTTTAGTCGTGAAAAAAACTTATGTTGTCAATGTCAACTTTAATTTTATTATTATATTCGTAATCTTCATAAAATAACCTTTAAAGTGATTCCAAACTTGATGAATTTATCTCAAAAAACCAAAAAGTTCGAACTTTCAACTCTTAATTTTGACATATTGGTCAACGTCATAAAAAATCCTTTCAAATGAGTCCAAACTCGACATATTTAACTTTAATATTAATGGAAATACAATCACTTCCGGTTTGAAACGTCAATTTTGACATATTTGTCATCTTCATTAAAAAACCTTTAAAATGAGTCCAAAGATGACGCACNAAAAATCCTTTAAAATGAGTCCAAACTCGACATATTTAACTTTAATATTAATGGAAATACAATCACTTCCGGTTTGAAACGTCAATTTTGACATATTTGTCATCTTCATTAAAAAACCTTTAAAATGAGTCCAAAGATGACGCACTTATCTCAAAAAACCGAAGTTAGAATAAAAAACATTAAACCCTAAGTTAGCAACAATGAAAATAGCAATTTAATTTTTAAATATTAATAGCCTTAACAACCTTAATTTTTTATTATTTTTAATTAATTATATTTTTGTTTTTGTGATAAATATTAAGACATTTTATAAAAATTAAGAATATGTCAAAATGACATTGATATTTCAAACCGGAAGTTGCTTATATCTTGAGTAATATTATAATTAAACGTATCATGTTTGGACTCATTTTAAAAGATCATTCACGACGATTACAAATATATTAAAATTGACGTTGACATTCTTAACCAGGAGTTGACCATAACTTCATTAATATTGAAGATAAATATGTCGTGTTTGTACTCATTCTAAAGGATTTTTAATGAAGAATACAAATATGTCAAAATTAAGGTTGACATTTTAAACCTGGAGTAAGTTATCATATAATAGCAGTTTTATAAGTGAAGTTAGTTACTTTTCCGCACTTTCTTTTTATTTTTAACGAGTTTTTTGGGTTGGGTCATTTTACATTGATTAAAAAAAATCGTCGATTTTTAAGCCACATGATGATTCTTGAATTTTTCCCAAGTTTCTGAATATTTCTTTTGTTAAAAAAGAGCGTTCTTAAATTTTAACCTGTAAACTTGTAACACTTCGCCCTTAATTTCATTTTACAACTTTTTAAACTTTAATTTTGTAAAATCTGATTTCGACTTTGATATGTGATCTTTTTTAACAAAACAAAAAGAAATATTACGAAACTTGTTTGTAAAATAGATAGAATAGATCTAGAAAATCTATTATCTATCATCTAGAAAATAGATAAGAAATGTTAATCTATTTGTAGAGTCTCTGAAGATGGCCAAGGGGCGAAACTGGTTAGACTTAAATTCTATATAAAATAAAAACTAGTTTAAAAGTACAAAATCACACTCTAGATTATTTTCTGCAGAAGTTTTTACACGAATCGTCATCATTTTGTCTCTAATCTTGGTGATTAAATTTATGCCACAACTTGCAGAAACACTCTGTATAATCGTGCTTGTGATAGCTGTCATCAGTGTTCTGTGATAAAAATGGACACCAAACAATTTTCTCAATAGTTTTCAATAGTTTGTGCTGCCTATTCTGAGAAGTTTTATATTTTTAGAGAGATTAAAAAGGAAGTCCCGTTTTTCTCAACATTACTTTAGTCAAGTTAGCTTAGTCAAATGATGCATAACGCGGTCCAAATAATCTTTCAACGAAAAAATATATTCAACATTATGAAAAAGAATAAAATTAAATTATTAATAAATTCATTTGATTTAATTTGGTTGGGTTTTACAGTTTTGTTTGTTTATTATACAGCATGTCCCGTATCTTCCGCATCAGAGCATTATACGGTTGTAGGATACATTATTCTGAAGCGATACCTGTATATTATTATTAAATAAATTTAGCGTACAAAGAATTACTTTACTTTCTTGATGATTTTAAAAAAATGAGTATAGAAACAAAACATTGTAATAGTCAAATATTTGGCATTTGTGGTGCGTATACACAAAAATCTAGATTTTAGAGATGCTGTACTTTTCCGTATTCGGTGTCGTACACGAGAGAATCCTGGCCGAGGATAACTTTTGCAATTTGACATGCGGATAAGCCGGGCTGTCGAATGACAGATGGCACCCGGTGATCCGAGTTTGGCCGCGAAATCCGAACAGCGGCCGTTTCGCTGCGGTCTGCCCGGTGCTCTTCACCAGAAGAGATAGATTTATGGGCAGCTTCCTCTGCTTTCGCCCGTCAGAACTCTCGGATTCGTATTTCAGTTCCTGCTAGTAGTGGTAGCGGTGCAGCATCAGCCGGATCTAAAACTTGACCTAGTTCTGTTCTATACACCTTGTAAGATATTCATAAATGATAATTTATGAAAATCAATACATGTTTTGATTATGATTGATTAGCAATTGATTAACAACACGTGTTTGAAATTATATAAACAAATAAAACATTAACGACTGTCAAGTTGTGATGAGATTACAAGGTCGTTATCACGGTGACGCAACAATTTGTGTGTTTATATGTATAATTTGTATCTAAAAATATCAGTATTAAGTGGGTTCCTCAACGAGTTAGAATGCCTATTTAAAGAATGAAAATGAAAATAAGTCGTGTTTTATTAATAGTTTTGGTGTTTTTTGAAATAGACAAAAAGTTCAAATGTATTATTAATGTTTCTGATGCCGAGTAAAAATCACGACATTTTGGGTTGTGTTCTTTCAAAACATTTCTCCACGATTGGACGCAATGTAACTTATATTTCTGAGTTTTCTCTTAAAAGCACTGAAACATTTCATAGTATTATTCATTTTGAAGAAATGATTAAATGGTTTTTTTCAATACTATATTTCTTAACATTTTTTATTTATTTTATTTGATAAAAAGCTTTAGGCTTTGAAAAGGCATGGAAAGTGCAAGGAAAGCCATCAGTTTTCAGCATAATTAAATAAATTGTCTCAATTATCGATATATTATAGCATCAATGATTTTGGATGATTTAGATATTCAACATTTAGTTAATTCAAACTCATCCTTTGATGTTCTTATACAATTCCTTGGTTTGGATTCATCGATGGTTCTAGCTGATCTATGAAAAATAATTTAATGCTTTTAAATGATTTAAAAGACGATTAAATTTTGGATGATGCCAAAGAAGGATTCGTTTATTTCAGTTTTACAATAAACGTTCGAGTTAGTAACGCTCCAAATGGCGGTTTAGATTGATTAAAAAATGTTTAGAAAACCTTTCGTTTAAGATTATTTTTAAATACGATGAAGATAATTCATCTTAAAAAAATTGTTACGGTTTCCCCAACCATCCGGTTTAGCTCATCCTAATATTAAACTGTTTATTAGTCACGGTGGTTTTCGGAATCCCTTCATTTTGGGATGCCCGTTGTTTACATTCCATTTTTTGGCGATCAACACAAAAATTATGCTGATGCTGAACATAACGGTTACGCGATAATTGCAGATGTTGAAAATATAGAAGAGAAGTCGATTTCTGGTTATTTAGAAAAAGTTTTATTCGATAAAAAGTAAATATTTATAATTAGTTTGAATGTTTTTTTTTAAATAAAGATTGCATTATTTTTTAGATTCTTAGAGTCGATTAAATTTAAATCAGATTTATACAGAGATCTACCTATGAATCCAATAGACCTGATTGACCAGAGCGTTCAATCCTCTGTACTGTATTGAACATATTATTAAACATAAAGGTGTTAAACAGTTAAAAGTTAAAGGAATTGAATTACCTTGGTATCAATTTTATTTATTTGATGTATTTTTGTTTATTGGAGCGGTAATTTTTGTTGTTTTATGTGTTATTTATTATAGTATGAAATATTGTTGTAAATTTATATGTTTGCTATAAAAAGAGAAAAATTAAAACTAATTAGGGAAGGTTACTCAACAAAAATAGTTTCCTTTTTCATTTCTATAAGAAATATAATAATTCTTACCACTTACAAGTGCACAATGAAAAAGCAATATCTTACAGAAATTTCAAGATTTTCTTTTGAGAGACACATCATGACCAAGTGTGTTCAACAGAAGAGTAATTCCGTCAAAGTCGCTACCGTCATTGAATAGCCCCTTCTTCATAATGTTTGAATGTTAAAAAATCCCAATTGATTATATTATTTAATTTATTGAGCGTTATTCTTACAAAAAGAATGAGTTTTTCACGCAAGTCTCTCTGTGATGATGTTAAAATGTTAATTAGTTAGAATTAAAACAATAGCGAAAGTGATTTGGAATGATGCAATCCTACTCTTTCAAAGTTTTTTTCAGGGTGAGCTAAACGACATGATTCGAGATTTAAATTTATCTAAGAAATCAGCTCAGCTTCTTGCGACAAGACTAAAAGAAAAATATTGCCTTCAGCCTGCCGTATCGCATGTTATCGAATTAGAGAGCGCGATATTCTTCCAATTTTTAATGACCAAAAAGGCAGAACGAAGATAGATTGCTCAAAAAAAAGTTTGCATGTGAATTAGCTCCAATCCCGATAGCTCAATCAACTACTTTTACGTAAGAATATTATATTTGTTTTAAAAAAACTTCATTAAAGTAAACACTGGAGCAGGAAAGACTACCATGCAGAATGAACATGATTGTAGGAAAAGCTAACATCGGTTCTGAACCGTTGATCAGTCGAGAAAAAAATCATTCTTCCACCACTACATATAAAACTAGGGCTAATAAAACAGTTTGTAAAGCTTTAGATAAGAATGGCGATTGCTTCAAATATATTTGTCATTTCTTTCCTAGTCTCAGTATAGAAAAGTTTGATGAGAGAAAGAGGAATGTTTGATGGGCCGCAAATCCGTACTCTTATAAATAACGATGATTTCACACCACATGACTTAAGTTGAATTGGAAGGATGGACAAGCTTTGTATCAATTGTCAAAATTTCTTTGGGGAATCATAAAGCTGAAGAATGTAGTAGAGAAAATGCAAGTAATGACCTAAAATTGACTAATAAACCCCATGACGCAGAATCAGTGTTGCCCTATGAATTATTTATGTCCAATCGACCTCTACTCGAGGTAGGTTGGAAAACTTATTCAATCAGCTGTCACACATAGGATCAGGGTCTTTGCTCCATTTACCGAGTGAGTGCCTGCATAAGCCATGCCTTATTCGAATCCTGTTATCAATTTTCCAACTTTGTCCAAGTGTCTCACTTCGCGCGTGACAGCCAGGTTCCATGTCAGTCCCCAGTTCCGCTCTATGTTAAAGTTCTCATTGTATAGAGTCTTAGCTTTCCTCATTGTAGAGTGTCTAGATTTGAGCCTGGTACATGAGGCCGCTTGGGTATAGATGTGGATTTGGAGTGAATCTATCACTGTCCAATATTTGTTGGTATTCTGGGACCAAAACGTCCTGTTTTCCAAGCTTGGATGGTAAAATATGGGTGAGTGCAGTAAAGCAGTGTATGAGAGTTGTTTTAAACAGTCAGTGTTTGCGTGGTGGAGTTTATTTGAGCATCTAAACTGTCGGTGTGTCGACCATTCAGCCAGACGGGTGAGCAATACTAAGCATCAGTGTAGACAAATGAAAGGACCAAACACCACACAGTTGCTGCTGTGATCTCCACGTGGTGCTACATATTATTTTTTGTGCGTACTTTACCTGTTGTTTTTTCAGGTGTGAACGATATGTGAGGGATCTGTCCAAAATCACATCCAGGTATTTTGGAGTTGGGTTGTGTACAAAAGGGTGACTGCCAAACCGAATGTCCAGCTGACGTGTAGCCTTCTTGTTATTGAGATTGAAGAATATTTTCTATAATATTCCCCCATCACAATCAGATCGCTGCTCAGAGTTCCCGCCGTCTCCTCTAAAGTGTTACGGATCACAGCCAGGACTGAATCATTTGAGTATGCGAACTTTACGTTAGTAGTATCTAGTATATAGTAGGATATTTAATGTTTTGCGTGGCTTTACGTGTATTCCAAAATGAGCTGAAAGGACCTGTCGCTGAGCATGTTGTTCAACAAGCCCAGTGTCTTACAAGGGATTAGACTTAGGAACTTAAAGAGCAATCTTTTCCTCTATACTGTGTCGTAAGCCGCTGCTAGATCCACAAAGACGGCAGATATCCTCTCTATCTTTAAATACTTCTTTGGTTGAATCTGTACACTAACCCCCAACAGTTGTATCTTCCTTCTTTACTTTTTACAATATTTTGGACAATAGCTACGAATATCAGTATACAGCTCTTTTCTTGATTCACCCAAAAACCCAACATACAAAGGTTGAGCTTCACCTTTTTCTTCCTTTTTGCTTCTAAGACAATGTGTCGTGTGATGAGAAATTGTGTGGCAACAAAAGAGCTTTGGAAACAATCTGTGAATGTTTGAGTATCCATCCATTCATGATTTGTTCTGTTGTAATAAGTAAGTAGTTTGTATCATTACAACATGATTTACGCTTGGGACCTAATTCAATCCATAGTAGGTACCTAGTGTAGTTCAGAACCACACATCATTATAGTAGTGTTTTTTTTTTATTGAAGACCTGTTCGGGATACTTATTGCCACGACAAAAAACATTTTTTTTTTGCCTGGATCGTCTTGTTGTAAGCTTGTTGTTGTAACGTTGTAACCTGGAACATCTTCAATTGAAACATTTGCACAACACCTTTTAATATTTGTCGCGACTTTTTGAATTATCTCGTTACCATGTTTTTCTAAGATGTATCGGTTCCAATCTATGCTCGGCAAATTTGAACTAAATTTAGCCACTCAGCTATAACTTTTCGCCAAGTATCTTACGTCGTTGAGTGCTGGCGGGAAAGCCTAATCTTCACAACAATTATTAGCTCTTATGACTGCCCGTCCTTCTTCACATGTGAACATGGTTTTATTATACAGTATTTCTTTGAACTAAACACTAACACTATCACTGGAAATAACAGTAGACCTAGAACTAGAAACTTTAGGATATAAAATTTTAATCAAATCGGGCAACCTAAACTTGCAAATTGATTTAATTTACGTTTAAATTGAGGCAAATTAATCATTTATTGTATAAGCTTTTAAGTATAACAATGATAAACATTTATGTATTGATAGACGTTTAGATAGACGTTAGTCCATCAGTGCTACATAAAAATGCGAAAACACTCTAGTTATTACATCAAATATTTAACAATTTCACAATAAAAAAAATCGAAGCATCAAAATTTATAAGAGCGAAACAATTGTTTATAATGTGCTAAAACTAGATTAGATTTGGTTTTTATTTCAATTTAATATAATACAAGACATATAATTTTACAAAATTGAAACCAAATTAGTATAGAACGTAATTACACTTCAGCAAAAAATTTAGAAAACGATAAACTGAAGTCACATGTTTAACAAGTTAATGTTTAAATTGACCTGATTCGAAAAAACGAACTGCATGTTCATGATTAGAGGACTCGAATTTATCGGAAAAACATCGAAACCCCACGAGATTCTGTAAACATTATTAATTGTTATACAGAACCCTTATCGATATTTCTTGTAATTATAGAAACAATTACTAGTATGGATCGATGACTCTCTAATTCGTGTAGCCTTTAAATACGACATCAATATAATTGATACTATTCGTGATGAGATTACATGGTCGATATCACGATGATGCAACAATTTATAAGTATATTACAATTTAGATTCTAACAACATCAGTATCGAGGGGGTTTCTCTAGTAGGTGTATCGCTTGCTTTAATAATGAAGATGAAAAGAAATTGTGTTTTATTAATAGTTTTCGTGTTTTTTGGATATGTATCATTAATACAAAGTGCAAATATATTATTAATATTTCCAATGGCGAGTAAAAGTCATGATATTTTGGGCTATGCTTTAGCAAAACATCTCTCCACAGTTGGACATAATGTAACGTATGTTTCTGCGTTTTCTCATAAAAACACAGAAACGTTTCATAGTATTCATCTTGAAGAAATGATTAAAATTAAAGGTGATTTTAAATAACTTATATAGTTCTATTTACTGTTTATTGTATTTCATAGAAAAACTTCAAAGGCATATGCAAGGAAATGGAACGATATTCGATATAATTGAACAAGTGTATTTTGTATTGGACATACCTGCAATGATCTTTAATGACTCAGATATTCAAGACACAATTAAATCAAACGCAAATTTTGATGTTCTTATACAGTTTGCTGGTATAGATGCATCGATGGTTTTAGCACACCACTTTGATATACCAATAATAGTATTTTCACCAACAACCGCTATATTGACTCAGAACAATATGGTGGGAAATCCAAGTCCTCCATCTTATATATCAACGATAATGACACCGTATAAAGAAGACATGAGCTTTTTCGAACGCGTTAAAAACACTGTGATTCCTTTCATAGCATTCAATTTAATAGAAATGGCATTTAATTATGTAGGAAATAAAGCAATTCAACACCATTTTCCGGGATATCCATCGATTCAAGAAGTTATTAGAGATCGTGTTGATTTAATTTTAGTAAACTCTGATATAAGCACGGAAACTCCACGACCTTACGTACCGAATATGATACAAATCGGCGGATTTCACTTACAAAAACCAGAGCCATTAAAAGACGATCTAAAAAAAGTTTTGGACGATGCCAAAGAAGGATTTGTTTATTTAAGTTTAGGGACAAACGTTAGAGTTAGCGACATACCAAGTGGTGGTTTTGAAGTGATTAAAAAGTGTTTGGAAAAACTTCCGTTTAAAATTATCTTTAAACACGATGAGGATGAGATGGTTGGGGCACCTAAAAATTTTTATGTTCGAAAATGGTTTCCGCAAGCATCCGTTCTAGCTCATCCAAATATTAAATTATTTATTAGTCACGGTGGTTTTGGTGGAATGTCAGAGACCCTTTATTACGGGGTACCAGTTGTTTGTATTCCGTTTTTTGGCGATCAACGACAAAATTGTGTCGAGGCGGAGTATAACGGTTACTCAGTAACTGCCGAAGTTCAAAATTTGGATGAAAAGTCGTTTTCTGAGTATTTAGAAAAAGTTTTATATGACAAAAAGTAAGTAGTTATGTATAAAAAATTCTTAAAATAATTTTTGTATTATTTTTAGATTTATAGAAGCGATTAAATTTAAATCTAATTTGTACAGAGACCAACCTATGAATCCCATGGATAAAGCTGTGTATTGGATTGAGCATGTTATTAAACACAAAGGGGCTAAACATTTAAGGGTTAAAGGAATTGATTTACCTTGGTATCAATATTATTTATTGGATGTGTTTTTGTTTATTGGAGCGGTAACCTTTGTTGTTTTATGTTTTAGTTATTACAGTTTGAAATATTGTTGTAAATTTATTTGTGTTTGCTGTAAAAAAAGAAAAGTTAAAACTAATTAAAGAAGTTTACCATACACAGGCAAGATTTTGATTTACACCCATATTATATGAACATGCTATCAAGAAATTCAAACCTAGAAAGTTAACAATAGAAGATATAGATGGAAAGATATTATGGAAAGACGAGATCGTGCTTAACCGATGGACACAGTACTGTGTCAAGAGCTGTATTCCGACAAGGTATACAGAGAGAAGACGAATCACAATTGGGAATATATATATATATATATATATATATTGGGAGATAGATTGTGAGCCAGATATTCTGAAAGAAGAAGTGATACGTCAGCTAAAGGCAAATAGAGCCTCTGGAGCAGATTACATCCATGCAGAATTTTTCAAAGTGTTAGGCGATGCGGAAGTAAAAATGTTGTTAGATCTATGCAACAAAGTATGGAGAACAGGAAATTGGTCAACAGATTGGACAACATCAATTTTCAAGCCTATATACAAGAAATGTGAAAATTGCAGCACTATTTCCTTAATATTACGTGCTAGTAAAATTTTACTGCGAATAATATAGACCATCGACTAAATAACAATCTACAATTACAAATACCGCCTGAACAAGTAAGAAAGACTAAAGGAAGAGGTACACGAGATCAGATCGAAAGTACAATATTCCGATGCTACTCATCGATTATCAAAAGGCGTTTGACTGTGTCAAATGGGAACACTTGTGGTTAGTCTTCGGCGAAAGGAGAGTGCCAAATCATCTCGTAGCGCTAATAAGAAATCTATGAAACAGGAAAAGCAAAAATACAACTAAACGTATATGTCTCATGTGAATTTAGTATAGAAAATTTGTCAGGCAGGGCTGTACTTTATCACCAAAACTGTGAAAGAAACTCACTAATCTCCGATATGCCGACGTTACGATTCTGCTGGCGAAAGACAGAAAGGAACCTAAATAGGCCGAAATTGATGATAATAGACAGAGGCAATACTCTAACACAAGAAAATATTGTAGATGAACTAGAAAAATCACAGAATCTATATACCTAGGCATATGGAATATAGCTAAATTTCCATGACTAACTTGACAAAGATATGGAAAGATCAACAAATTATAAAAAGGACAAAAGTCAAACTAGTTAGAACACTTATATTCGCGATTTTCCTATACTATGTAGAATTCTGCACTATTAAAGAAGCCGATAAAAGAGGATTGAGACTTTTGAGATGTGGTGCTGGACGTCGAATGCTGCGTGTTTTATGGCTAGACAGATGCACTAACGATATGTTAGTCCGTCTGAAAGAGCTCGAGATCAATGACAGACTGTCCACGTCGACGAATTCTATAATATTTTGAGCATATAATCAGAAGAGAACCTGGAGAAATTATTGATACATTGAAATAAATAGCCATGTAATAACAAAGCATTAATTCAAACACCGCGGTAATTTCAAAATGCTTATTACTTATAAATAAAATTGTGTTTGCAAGTTTAATGCTTAATTGCGATTTATTGGAGTTAAATAATTATTGAAACTACATCTCCAAGTCTATATGTGGCCTGCGATGTAGTAAATCTCCTTTAAGTTTATATTAGAGTCTAACCCCTTAAACTAGAATAAATACAGATTTTAATATGAGTGTTGAGCCCATTCCTTTAAGTTTTCTTAAACTCCTACCAGCATTTCTAGATCTAGTGCTTTTAAAGTTGGAAGATAATGTTTAAACATCTTTGCTTTGAAGTACCTCTATTAGAAAATGTAGCAGGAATTCAAAAAGCTAGCAAGGATGTCATTGAACAGTTTCTCATAAGGAGATTAACCGATTGCTTAACATCTCTTGCAAAATTGAATGAGAATCATGGACTAATGATGGAAAATCTATAATTTTATGACGTAAAATATTCTTAAAGCATAATAAGTGGCGATTTTTGGATTATCAAGAAGTCGTTGGTAAACCTGACAGAAGTTTCCTGCAGTCCTATAACAAAAATTGTTTTTCTTTACAACTCGATAAGCATGAAATCCACTTCGCTACTTACCAATACAATTCTACGTCATACTAAAGTTTTTACGTAATTATTCAATTAAATTATCTCGTAGCAGTGAAGTTACTGCTCAAACTGTCCACTAATGTATCACATAGATGCATACCTACAAGAGCTGTTTGAAACAATTTCATTGCAAGTTGTGGTAACTGTTGTAATGTTGGTACAGCATAAATGTTTAACTGAAAAATTACTGAAAACACCAAATATTTGGAGATCTGTGGAATTTCTTGGAAAGTAATCTGGATTTCTCCATATACCTGTAAACATTCCCGGACATCATTAGCAAAAAGTAGAAACTCCTGATATCCTTGGAAATCTTTAAAAATCATCAGCAATTCCTGTATATCTTTGGGAATTAAATCAAAAGAAATCTCTAGAAATTAAAAGATATTCCTTAGTTGTATTTGAAAATATTCTAAAAAATCTCTAACATTTAAAATATTCTAACATTGCTGAACATTTCTGGAAAACCACAGATATCTCAAATGTGTTTAGATTAGTTTGAAGTAGAACTTCAAACTTGTTTCTGCAGAAGGTTGCAACAATGGCATACGAAGTAGAAAACATTTTTTTCAAAAAAAAAACTCACGGCTTAACCCGAAAGTTTTTAGTTCTAGGTCTAGTGGTAGTTCTAGTGATAGTGCAATGACTTAAAAAAACGTTGATTATTTAGAAAATCCTTAGAAAGCTTAGTCTTTGAATATCTAAAGACAAATAGGTTTCCAACAAAAATATGTTGTATGTTGATGCAGGGTTACTCGAAACCGACATGATTACTCGTGTTTTCCTCCAAATTCTACAAGTATTGTTCAGCCCAGAGCTCAACGTGTTGTAGAAAGTATGAAGAGCAAAGAGATTCAATTATTGGGAGAACATGCTGTTCTGTGGTTTCGGAAATGTATGAATTTAAAACATGGAATTAATACATTCGCATTTGATAAATGAATTAGCCAAGATTCTCAACATGAGAAAGTTGATACGGACGATGATAACCATTATCAACTGAAAAAACATAACGCCCATAGCGTACGAAATTAATGATTCGGACGGAAGAGACGATGAAGAAATGACCAAGTTATGAATAATAATGTTGATTTTAACAACAAAAATATAGCTCTGATACTAAAAGAAATAATGGTACCACCAAAAGAAGTAATTTAGAAAGATTCTGTACATGTTCGTATGCTTTCATGATAAAAATAAATGTTTGTAGTAATTTGATAAATCACCTATTTTTACGATATTATCTGATTACTCGTAGTATCGTAATATCAGCTCGTGTTAAAATTAGAATATATTTTTAAAATTCCGTAACTCTTATCGATTTTGATGACTACTTAGATACTGTATTATGCTTTATGACAAATCTTCGTAGTTTAATAATAATAATAATTAATATACTCAATAATATACAATAATTAAACAGCCTTCATTTCGTGATAAGATTAGAAGGTGGTTATCACGATGACGCAACGTTTAATAATCATAATAATTTGATTTCTAAAAACATCAGTAACAGTAGTGTCCTACAAGTGTTAGAATGAGATCTCTTTAGACATCTCTTTAGAAATGAGAGTGAAAAGATTTTGTGCTCTGATTACAATTTTGGTGCTTTTTGAATACATTTCATTTGCAAAATGCGCAAATATACTATCGATGTTTCCATCGCCGAGTAAAAGTCACGATGTCTTGGGTTATGCTCTTTCGAAACATCTCTCGACAATTGGACACAATGTAACATATATTTCTGCGTATTCCCATAAAAGTACCGAGACGTTTCATTGTATTCATCTCGAAGAAATTATTAAAATTAAAGGTATTTTTAAATAAACTAAAAAAATATATAATAGCTAAGTCTCATTTTTATTTTATTTTATAGAAAATATGCAAAAATATATGAACAATAATGCCACGGTTTTCAATATAATTGAACAAATTAACTCAATAATCGATATAGCTTCAATGATTTTGAACGATTCAGACATACAAGATTTAATTAAATCAAACTCATCCTTTGATGTTCTTATACACTTTCTTGGTATGGATTCATCAATGATTTTGGCCCATCATTTTAAAATTCCGATAATAGTATTTTCACCAATAACTGCAATAAACACACACACTCGTATGGTAGGAAATCCAAGTCCTCCATCTTACATACCAACGGTAATGACACCGTACAAAGAAGACATGAGCTTTTTCCAACGCGTCAAGAACACTGTACTTCCTTTCGTGGGATTCAATTTAATAGAAATGGCATTTAATCATGTAGGAAATAAAGCAATTCAACATCATTTTCCGGGTTATCCATCGATTGAAGAAATTAAAGATCGCGTTGATTTAATTTTGGTAAATTCACATTTAAGTACAGAAACTCCACGACCTTACGTACCGAACATGATACAAATCGGCGGATTTCACTTACAAAAACCAGAGCCATTAAAAGAAGATCTAAAACAGATATTAGATGATGCTAAAGAAGGATTTGTTTATTTCAGTCTTGGAACAAATGTTAGAGTTAGTGATATTCCAAGCGATGGTTTAGATGTGATTAAAAAGTGCTTGGGTAAACTTCCTTTTAAAATTATTTTTAAATTCGATGAAGATGAAATAGCCGACGCGCCCAAAAATTTTTACGTTCGAAAATGGTTTCCACAACCAGCCGTTTTATCTCACCCTAACATCAAATTATTTATTAGCCATGGTGGTTATGGTGGAATGACGGAGTCACTGTTTTACGGTATACCAGTGGTTTGTATTCCCTTTTTTGGCGATCAACAACAAAATTGTGTTGATGCTGAACATAACGGTTATTCCGTAACTGTTAATGTTCAAAGTTTGGAGGAGAAATCGTTTTCTGATTACCTAGAAAAAGTGTTATACGATAAAAAGTAAGTACTAAACTCCGTTTATTACGATTCTTGATATAATTGTTGGATTATTTTTAGATTTATACAAGCTATTAAATTTAAGTCTGATTTGTATAGAGATCAGCCTATGAATCCAATGGATAAAGCTGTATATTGGATTGAACATGTTATTAAACATAAAGGGGCTAAACATTTAAGGGTTAAAGGAATTGATTTACCTTGGTATCAATACTATTTGTTGGATGTCTTTTTGTTTATTGGATTAGTTATTATTATTGTTTTAAGTTTTGTTTATTATAGTTTGAAATATTGTTGTAAATATATTTGTTATTGCTCAAAAAAGAGAAAAGTTAAAACTAATTAAAGAATATATTTCAAAATTACAATTAATGAATACTACAATTAGTAGGTTGTAAATTATTCGAGAGTGGGTGAATAAATTTGTGAAACAGGTAATATAGAATTGTAATTAAAGAAAATGTTAGTGATAACAAATATATAAGAGTAGATATAAGTAAAGAAGTCGTGATCATTTTAATCATATCATCTAAAAATATGATTAAGATGATCAGGATATTCTCATTATATCAAGACAATTAAAGGAATGTATCAAATTATGAGAAGATTGGAGATAGTAAGTAATATATATCTTTCATAAAATCATGTAAAACAATGTTGTAGTTATTTGTACCTCCTAGAGATTCCTCCTTCTCACTGCAGAGGACAACACTCTCATTTCCTCATGTCTCATAATTCCTTCTTCAGCCTTTCTGCATTCCTTGTTATGGTTCTTTAAATCATCTCTATCCACTTGCCATTTCCAGTTATTAACACCTATGTTTTCACTTTCCATATGAATTTTACTTCTTCCCACATTCCTATGGATTTCTGACTCAAATTTCTCTCCTCTTTCTATTCCTCTCAATTTTTACGATTTGATTGTATGATTTACTATTTTCTTCTTCTATGTGTGGATTTGTAGTTTGCATTGTTCTCTCCTTCAGCTGGCTTTAGATAATACCACAAAGTGATCACTATCAATTTCTGGTCCACTGATCTTCCTCTTATCTTTCCTCGTATCTTTTATACCCTTCTTGTGTGTGAACCAATCTATATTAGACTTGATGAAATCACAGACAACTAGTAGGTTGTAAATTATTCGAGAGCGGGTGAATAAATTTGTGAAACAGGTAATATAGAAATGCAATTAAAGAAAAAGTTAGTGACAACAAATATATAAGACTAGATATCGAAGTCGTGATCATTTTAATCATATCATCTAAAACTATGATTAAGGTGATGAGGATATTCTCATTATATCAAGACAATTAAAGAAATGTATCAAATTATGAGTAGATTGGAGATAGTAAGTAATATATATCTTACATACAATCATGTAAAACAATGTTGTAGTTATTTGTAGCTCCTAGAGATTCCTCCTTCTCACTGGAGAGGACAACACTCTCATTCCCTCATGTCTTATAATTCCTTCTTCAGCCTATCTGCATTCCTTGTTATGGTTCTTTAAATCATCTGTATCCACTTGCCATTTCCAGTTATTATCACCTATGTTTTCACTTTCCATATGAATTTTACTTCTTCCCACATTCCTATGGATTTCTGACTCAAATTTCTCTCCTACTTCTATTCCTCTCAATTGTTACGATTTGATTGTATAATTTACTATTTTCTTCTTCTATGTGTGCATTTGTAGTTTGCGTTGTTCCCTCCTTCAGCTGGCTTTACATAATACCATAAAGTGATCATTATCAATTTCTGGTCCACTGATCTTCCTCTTGTTTCTTTAATACCCTTCCTGTGTTTGAATCAATCTATATTAGACGTGATGAAACCACAGACTACTACATATTGATATGGCTACGCCACTACGTAAAGACAATTTTCTGTATTATTTTTATAAGGCAAAATTAGACCAATAGGATCAAGAATTATTGCTATTAACAATTTTTTAAGATAGTTTCATACATCTTCAAAATACATCGTAGTACTTCTATCAACTATGTATCGCGATGACGCCATTGATACCAACACCGTCATACCCAAAATAATTGTGAATTATAAACAGTTTCTGAAGAAATTTACAACATGGCATCCGAAACGTCAAACAATTTTTCAAAGCACGACGTAACCCTCAAGCTTCTAGTTCTAGGTCTAGTGTTAGTTCAAACATTAAAGATACAATAAGTTTGTTTTATAAAATATTGAAACGAAAACTTCAGAAACACTTTCCGAGAAAATAGAATAATAGACTTATAGACTTGTCTCAATTGGGTGTCGTTAACAGTCATTTACCTATCGTATTAACCATGTAATTTGGTGTAATTACTTTAGTGCAGTGTGTTTGTATAATGTCATCGTCAAATCCATTAGCAAATTGCAAACATGATGATATAATTATCAATAATTATGTTATAGGCAGGTATGAGTAATAAGTTTTTGACTCAAAGTTATGTCGCAATTAGTTTAGTTTTTAGAAATATGGGAACGTAATCTTATAAACACGAAATTTTATGCAATATCTAAAACCTTAAACGTTGAAATGTGTGAATAACTAATTTCTGGACCGGGTTTTGCGTAATTCCTACCATTGTTCTCATTCACAAACCAGAGTCCAAGTCTTCGTAAGGACTAATTAAAATCGGTCCAGGAGCAAGGGTCCATTGTGTCGCCGTAAGCGAAATATTCAAAATAGATTAAGATCGAGCGCTGGGACGGCCAACAATGGCCGCATCATTATTAACCAGCGTATAAGCCCCCGTTATAGTCCGGTCTTACCGGGTAGTTTAAGGGTGTAACCGCCGGTACCTTCGTTGCACTCGCTAAATTATGGAGAATGGAGAACGTTTCCTGTTTGGGGCCGGGTCCCGCATCGGCCACTGTCAGGATTTTGTGATGAATGGCTCCGCAGTCCTTTAACAGAAGCAGCGAGAGGGAACTTTAAAGACTCTCAAACAACTTTACTATTATTATTGTTACACAATCATTTATATTTCTGTTTGAATGCTGTTTTAATGGATAAATAATCGATTTATAACAACATAAGTTAAATTGTAATTTTATTTACAGTGTAAACCGTAAAACGTGAAATAATGATGGATAATAAAAATTGACCTGGAAGTGAAACAAACAAAGCTATAATCCTCATTCCAAGGGGTTAAGTGTTGATCCATAAAACGTTAATCGGACGGGGCCGGTTATTTTAGGTCCGGTAAGGGTTGAATTTGCCGATTTCAATTTTGTCGCTAGCAGTTGATTCATCAGAGAGCGTGGGATTTGACGTTTACGGTGGATTTAGCCCCAGCCAGTCGAGCACACGTATTCCGCAAACTGTAAAAATAACGTTTTACGAGGCACCTTACCGCCCCCTGAAAAATTAATAGTTACATACAGTTCGCCAACGCCTGCCGGTAGCGTTAAAGGTAAATATCGTTCTCTCTCTAGCCACCACCGTTAGTTTTTACTGTTATGCTAGTATATTGATTTTGTGGTTCATTTTTCAAAACCTCTCTCAACGAGATAGAAACTCAAATCCAATAAAACTTAAATCCACTAAAATTTCATTATAAAAAGAAGTAATAAAAATTTGTCCTATTAATCCCATTAAAAATAAACCATGTTCAATAAAAGTTGCTTTGGGTTCAGACGAATGTGCGCACTACGTTATTTGTTATTTAATAAAGTAAAATTCTAAGAAATTATTCAAATACTTTTTTATTTGACTTTAGTAAGATTTAGTATATAAATTGGATCTCGAAATCGTTGGGTGTAACTTAAATAACTTGGATCAGTGTGATCTTTAGTGTATCTGTGATCCTGTTGGGAATTCTAAATATAGGAAGCATTTTAATTTGTCGGAAAAATGTCCTAGAAGTAAACCAGCTAGACAATGAGTTACACTAATAGAAAACGAAGCAATTCCAACTGTGGAATATTTAACAGCATAGATCTCACCGTAAAACTAGGATTACCTAAATTGCGAATAAATATCATAGATATACTATAGTATTATTGTCTATGAGGTGAACGACATGATAAGCATCATGTATATCAGAGCTTCTCAAAAAATTGGGATTGACAATTGAATCAAACGGAAAGGCAATGATAAAGGCAGATATATTGCACCTATTAATAAAGTTAGGAAAATGAGACAAACCAAACTAGAGACGTGTGAAGAAGTAGAAACGACATGATTTTTTGGTAAGGTTCTTGATAAGAAGTAGTGACGGGCAACATTTCAGATATGATATGATAGATATGATAATTATGAAAGATCAGTGGGAAAGAAGTCATCAAACTAGCTCAAAAACACAAACCTGCAAAGTGATTCATAAACCTATGTCGAAATGTTTTACGTCTCACTTATAGTAAAATAATCTTTTCTTTTAATTCATGACAAGGGATCGAACTGATTATTTGAAGGAAATGGTAAATTTTTTCCTCATACTAATGTAATGAATTTAAAACGATTTCAAAACCGAAAGACCGACATCTTTCGGGTTATTCTGCGGTGTTGTCAAGCAGATGCAACCTTATGGAATTAAGAGCAGGACTCTTAATTCCATAAGGTTGGTTTTTGCCACATCTAGACCTTGGTATATAGACGATCTAAAATTGTATCCCAATCAGGTTGACCTTGAAAATCCTCCTATTCCGTGATAAGAGTTGTAGTGATGATGTAAAAATGAAATTTATGTTGGACAATATAGATAATGGAAACATTGATGCACACAATCGCTGTATGTCTGTGATGGAAAAAGACGAAATAGATCGAAAGGAAAGGAAGAATCAGTACAAACACGCAGATTATTTGTAGCTTACCTTGAAAGAGTAAGCAAGTTATTGAAAAGATAATTGCCAATTTCGAAATTCAACTCGCTGGTAGCTATATAAAGACGATGTTAGTATAGTAATTAATATAGCTTCCAGACATTGTAGACAAGTTGTCATCTGGCAGATCATTCTTAAGCAAAACACACTGCAAATGTGTGCACATGTGGCAAATGTCAAACAAAAGCTTGACTTTTTGACAGAAAATATCCTTACAGTTACTGAACTAGATATCGTAATAATTGATGTAGTGAACAGGATAAAAAATAAACTAGAAGATTACCCTATTAAATGAACTCCTCTACTTCTACAGTAACAATAATCTAACAAGAAATGTATCTTTAAAAATTATGTTGTTTGAAAAATTAAACGATTTATTTATTGGAGTCATTTAATCCACGTTGCAAGCAGAAATGTTAAGGAAAAAAGTAAAAACGATTAACTTTTATTTGCGGTAATTTTTACCAGTGTCGTGCCTTATAATTCATCCTCAGTCGAATCTACACTTAACCGCAAAATTAACGCACCACTTTGACTTTTGGTTTTATTTCGAGAAATATTATATATTTCCGATTCATTAATATCAGTTATAATAATTTGTTCATTATACGCCTTTTGAATAGGATTGGAGGATAGGATGGTCGTCTGCTTTATTTAATTTTGAAATCATAGCATCTTTTCATGAGGGGTTTGTTTTTTAAGTAAATAATTGTTTTGCCAATGAGCGTGCTAGACGAAATTTAAATCGTGATGAATGTGTTCAAATTGTTACTTTGTCCAATGAAGGACTAACAAATCGCGAACTTTGTAGAAGG